CCAAGTGAAGGGTCAGAGTTTCATGATGCACCAGATCAGGAAGATGATTGGGCTGGTGATAGCAATTGTGAAAGGTTATGCTGCTGAGTCCATCATGGAGCGCAGCTGGGGAGAGGAGAAGGTTGATGTCCCCAAAGCCCCAGGACTCGGGCTAGTTTTGGAGAAAGTGCACTTTGAAAAATACAACAGGCGTTTTGGGAATGATGGGCTGCATGAGCCACTGGAGTGGACAGAGGAGGAGGAGAAAATTGCTGTTTTCAAGGAGCAGTACATCTATCCTACCATTATCAACACAGAAAGGGAGGAGAAATCCATGGCAAACTGGCTAAAAACCCTCCCCATTCATGACTTCAACTCCTCTACTGTTGAGATGCAAACTAACAACAAAAATTCAAAGGTAATGACTGAAGCCATTATTTTACAAATGGAAGCTGTCAAGTTGAAACATCTCTTCCCTTTGTACCATTTTTGTTTTCCATGCAATGCCATGGAAATTACAGTCATCTGGAGTATGAAATGTGTATAATCTTTTCTGTCTTTGTGCACTTGATGATAGTGGAATGAACTGTACAAAGCATTGTTTTTGCAGGGTTTTACAGGGAGTAGTTGAGGAGGGAGGAAGGAAAGCTTTAAGCACAAGCAATTTGCATAATCATAAACTGGCAACAGAAATTATGGACACATTGCCAGCCTTTGCTGTTGTGAAAGTGTTTGGGAGTCTAGGTTTCAGCTTGACAATTTTGATTTAAATACCTGCTGGCTTTTTGTAATCTCTGATTTTGGGCTAATTCTCATTTTGTTACCAGATAAGGTTTGGGATCAGGGAAATTTAGGGCCAGCTCTTTTAACTTAATCTGCCATGAGCTGAAAATAGGCCATCAGAACAACTTCTGAGTAACTGGGATATTGTGGAATTGGATTTGTGCCAACAGGAACTCCTGTGAGCAGTGAAGTGCAATACAACAAAGGAGTAGAATACATTTTTTCCAAAAAGGAAATTTCAGTTAAAGGCTGGCAAGTCCTTGAAGGATGAATGATGGGCAGGGCTAAAACTCCTGTGTAGTGCAACTCAGAAGAAAATAGTGGCCTTTTTTCATTTGACAGAATCCTTAAAATTAGCCTTATTTTGTGTAGCAAATGGAGAATGTTGGAGATGGAGAAAAATTATATTTCTGCTGTTTTATGCTTGAGTTCAAGAAAGAGTTTCATTGCATGATATAAAATTTACAGCCTTGTTGAATAGCACAAGCAAGACACCATAAGTTTCTCAGGGTTATTTTTGTACTTGTGGTAGTTTTTTTCTGAATTCTGGATATGTGAGAGGGGTGTTTGTGACAGGAGGGCACAGCAAAAGCCACTGTGGTTTGTTTAAATGGGATCCAAAGAAACCATGTGGCTCAGAATCCTTTAGCTGGTGGTGTTGGCAGGACCTGGTGCTGCCAGCTTCCCAATCCCTGATGTATTCCTGGAAGCAGGCACGTTCTGCTCCCTGCAGATAGACACAACCAAGTTTGGGTTTGGCATCACAGTTAGCACAAGCTGTCTGGGGAGGATAAATAAGGCGTGATATGACAGACTCTGCTGAGATTTTGCAGGCTGTTTGCACTTCAGTGAGCTGTGCTTGCTGGTATGAAGTCAACTGTGTGAGTGCCTTGGAATTTGTTTTGTAGTAGGATGTTAAATGGCCGGTGTTAAATTTGTGGGATTCAGTGTTTTCAGCAAGTGGTGGTGAGGGGAAAAAAAGGATAACTACAGACAGATATATACTATAGATATATAGAACTGTAGATATATACTATGCTAGCTTCTCTTTATAAAAATACTTTGATATCAGTCATATCAATTAAAATACTTCAAAAAAAATACATAAACCCCCAAATTAATCACACCGTATTGCCTTACTCCTGAAGGAGTGGCTCCCAGAGAGGAGCTCTGACTTCAGTTTCCTTGTAAGTTTCTAACATTTGTAGTTTTTTTCTTAGTACTACTCTGTGCAACTGACTTCATTTTTAAACAAGTATCAGTAAGCCCTGGCTTATCTGCAATACAGGTTGGACATAAATTCTCTGCAGCAGACAAAATTCTGGAATCTGGCTTTAGTCAATGTACCAAGCTTATCTTTGAGGGGCTTGCATAAAAAAGCACTTAACTTGTCTCACCTGCATTCATTTTAAATGTCAGCATTTCATATTACCATCCCACTTGCAAGTTTCCCACATACTGCAGGTTGTAATTAAGGAGTTTTAAATGTTGTAAAAAGAGGAAATTTCCTCTCTGGTAATTGTAATTACAAGTATGAAGCATCTTTACCATCAGAGATGTTTATTACAGTGGATGGGTCTAACCCATGAAGTTGGGACCCAGGAGTATTTTCTTACACTTGTGGAGAAGTTTGGAGTCAGTGTCTGTGATTCAGGTCAGTGTGTGGGTGTGGATGCAGCCCTGACAAATATTTTGTGCTTTGCTTTGCAGAAGAGCAGCGACCTCGAGGGCAGCGACGGCTGTGGCGATGATTCTGACTGAGCCAGCACGTGGCTGGACCTGGGACCCTTGCTGCTTGCAGTTCCCTTTGCCTACAAAAAAGTGGCCTTTCCAAATGCAAGAATCCAGTGAAACAGGAGTTGGTGTGCCTGCAGAACAATAACTGGATGCCCAGGAGAAATTGGGTGGGGAAGACAGTGCAGCAGAAAAACCAGAGGCTTTTATACCACTGACTGATTCACCTGACTGATATACTTGAAAACAGTGTAGTAGGAAAGCAGCTTTCTAAAAAAAAATCTTGAAATGCAGGGTATCTTAACTGCTATTTGAATAATGTTTTTATTATGTTTACCTGGGAAATAGTATTTTAAATATGTATAATCTCTACATAAAGATGGGGCAAATCATTTTAATATACTTTTTTTACTATGAAGTTTTGACTTCATGAGCTTATGATTTTTTAAAAATAATTTACCTTTACTCAAACTGAATCTCTAAGCTCTTATTTTTCATGTCATCCATGGTTTTCCTATGGAATAACATGTATGACCTTGAGATTAACTCAGTTACAGTGTGGTGCTAAAAATGCCAGGGTTGTGGATTCAATCCCTTTATGGCCATTCACTTAAGAGCTGGACTTGGTGATCCTTGTGGGTCCCTTCCAACTCAGAATATTCATTTATAAACTATGGGTTAGAAACTCATCATGCTGACTGCTGTGAAGTCTTTTGGTTTTGAAACAAATTTCTGTGTTTTCTAGAGCTTTGCAGGTCTAAAAGAAATTATTCCTTTCTCAGTGAGAGGGCTTCAGTTTGGAACGTGAACTGAGCCATAATTCCAGGATGAGACCTTTTCTGTGGGAGGTGCCATCCTCCCAGCATTGCCCTCGTGCTTGGGCAAGTTCAGGGGTATACAAGCACAGCTCCAGGTGCAGTTGGGCCTTTGCTGGCTGAGATGTAACCCCAAAATCCTCTTGAGCCATCTGCAGGATCCACAGCTGAATTGACTCGGCAGTGGGAAAGAAATGGTGCTGAATTCTCTGGGCTTTCATCAGGTTTGTGAACTCTTCAATCCCATCAAGCTCCTCAGAGCAGGGGATGTCTGCAGTGATATGGGAGGCACATGTCAGCATTGCCATCCTCTGGGAATCAATTTCAATTTTCTGTGTTTTCAGAATTGCATACTCTGGAGTTCATGCTCCTTTTCCCCATCAGTGATTTAACTCCTGGTCTTGTTTCCAGCTCTCTGTGGAGGTGGCAGAAGAAATGACACTCTCCTGCCTTACCAGCCTGCAGAACACTATTGAAGGGTTAGAACAAGACTCCAAGAATTTGGATATTAGTACAAGTGCTTGATACACTTCCCTTGCTGAGTCTCTGTGGAGACTTGCTTTTCAATATGGGACTACTGAAAATGAGGAGTCAACTCTTTATTCCCACATTTAGTGGTGTTTTGCCAAAGCCTTTAATTTAATGGTTCCTTCTGAAACGATTCTTTTGGTTTCGCAGGGTGATGTTTTTGGGTTAGGGGAGATTTTGGGGGATTTTTTGGGGCACAGCTTCCTTTAACAAAGGATTCCCATGTTCATTTTATCTGGGTTTTCTTTACAGCTTTTTATTTTATTGTGAAGGCCTTGCTCGATTTTATGAAAGCAAGTGTGCAGAAGTGCCCTGGAGAGGGTTTTTGCCTGGATTTTCATTTACATCCCTTGCTGGTCCATACTGTCGACCTACTGTGCATTATCTTCCATAAAGATGCTCCATTTCTCCACGCCTTTCAATCTGAAAAAAAATTACCTTTATCCACTTACAATAAAAGCCCCAAAGCTGTGATATATACCACAGTTGAAATCAAAGAGAAACTCTATTTGGAGAGAGAAAAAAACTGTGAATAACAAGAAAAATAATAAACACTTAAGCGTCGCGGCTCCCCCTCTGTGCGGGTGGGAGCGCCTGGATCCCCCCGCGGTGGGAGGCGGGTGGTATCGCCGCGCGGGGCGGGGCGGGGCGAGGCGCGGCCGTGAGGGGGCGCTGCGGGAGAGCGCGGCGGGCCCGGGGCGTGAGGGGAGCGCGGGGCGGGCACGGGGGCTGTGGGCGGCTCAGGATGTCACAGGGGTATACGAGGGTAATACATGGCGTGCGGGGCGGGTCAGGCTGTGCGGGAGCGGTGCGGGGTGTGCGGGATGTCACAGGGGTAATGGGGGTAGTACGTGGCGTGCGGGATGTCACAGGCTGTGCGGGGGTGGCGCAGGGCACCCCGGGGACAGGGGACACCCGTGGTGGCGGTGCGGGGAGCGGGGCACGCAGCGATGTGAGGGGCCAGGGCGCTGCCGAGCCCCGTGCTAGCGGCTGCTCTGTCCCGCGGCAGCGCCGCCGGGAGTGCCCTCTGCAGCACGGGCCATCCCGGCCGCTGCTCGGTGGCACTGGCGGCAGTGACAGCGGGCAGCTCCCTCCTGTCACAGTGCCCGTCATCTCCCGTGTGACAGCACCGGCCTCTCCGTGACTGCGGCCCGTGGGTCCCTGGGCTGGGGAAAGCCGAAGGCTTGGCCATCCTGCATCTTCTTCGAAGTACAAACATACCCAGACTCAGAATGAGCTGCAGCAACTGGATAAATCTACTGGGACCATAAAGAATTCAAGTGGTTAATTTGGGTTAAAGGTCAGTGACCATTGGGATCAACTCCCTTTACAGTTGTGCAGGAAGCAACTCTGCAACCGTAAACACCATTCTGTAGCAAAATGAAGTGAATATAAAATTTAAATCAATATATAAGAGTGGGTAGAGCTTTGGAACTGGTAGTCCAATGCACCATTTTATTGATAATGAGATACTTTATTACGTTGAACTTTATTTCAGTTCCAAAATAGTACTTGACAGAGAGACTCATAATTAGTTGTGACAGCAATTAAAAAAAGTCATGAACTTTAAAATAATGCTGTTACATCTAGTGCTTATATTAATGATTTAAGATTAAGTGTAAGTTTTAAGCTTTGTAATTAAAGATAACTGCTTTAATGAGATTTTGTGTAATTGTAACATTATATCTAATACCAATTGTTAGACATTTTAAAAACCCTCTGGAGAAAAATCTTAGAGATCTTAGTAAGTGCTGCACATCTCATTTTCCATACATTGGGTATCAATTTGTACCCTCTGAGCCCAATTTGTTGCTTTCCTTAATTAATGTTGTTGCATGAAATGTTTCCCTTTTGGTCATTTGATACCCTGATAGAGATTGGTTGTGGAGTTGTCAGCTCTCTGCAGGGTGTTGTTAGCAAAGATCTTGTCAGGCTCAAGAGTGGATAAGTGCATCCTGGACTGACTTGCTGATTGAGTCACACCTCAGAGCTCCCAGGCAGGCAGGTCTGTTGGGGAGTGGTGGAAGCTGATTTCACCAGCTTTGTAACAGGCTGCATTGCCACTTTCTTCGGTTCTCTTTGTCATTTCCCTCTTTTCTTTACTGAAATTGCAGTTTTTAACACTCTCTCTGCAGTGGAATGCCTCATGTCCCTCAAGTGGCTCAGCAGATCAGCCAGGAGGAAAACCAGCAAAATGGACCAAATTTGTCAAGTTTGCTTCATTCCTTACCTGCTGCACACAGCAGGAACCCAGCTCTGCCCCAGCAGGTACAACCAGCAGGGTGGGATAAGAACCATGTGCTTGTGGTCCCAGCTCCAGTGCCCTCACAGCAACAGGTATATTTGTATATTATACATTTATATCATACAACATTTGTATATTATCTTGTATGGGGAGTGTTGGCCTTTGTGTTTTGTGTGGAGACTTTGTGGTTGGCAGAATTTATCACTCCAGCCTGGGGAGAAAGGAGCCAATAGTTCCAGTATCTTTTGTAGGTGACTTTGATAATGTGTTTCAGGCATCTGTGGTATAGCTCAGCTGGGTATGGATCTGTACAAAAAGATTTTGTATTCATTTAAATTTAGAATGCTCTGTGGATACCTGGGCCTCTCATTTGGTTTTAATTAGTGCTGCAGATATACATGATTTTTCTTGAAGAAAGGAAAGGGGTGAGAAGGAATCAGACACGTTCTCTAGGGAAGTAGCATTTGTTCTTGTAATGAAGCCCTAGAAGGAGATTTTAATTAAAAACAATCCATTATTTTAATTTTCTATGCACCATTTTAAAATAAGGGGTGAGGGAGGATGACAATGAAAATTTGTGCTGCTTGTGCTGACTTGCCAGCAGTTGCAGGATGCTTACATGTGTTAATAAAAATGCCAGAAGCTAAATGTGTTTTGATATGAACTTTTTAGGGAATTTTGTCCATCTGCCATCTGGCAGAGTATTTAAATTCTGTGAAATTTCTCACTAAATCAGCCAGCACTTCTGATGAGATCTAGGAGTACTGTGTTTTAGGAGGAAAACCAAAAGTTCTCAAGTCTGAGTAGCTCTACATCCCAGATTCTCTACTGGTTTCTCATATAACTTCTGCCTCACAAAGTCCTTCAGAAACTTTACAAAAAGCTGCACAAAATGCATTATTCATTATCTTTTCATAAAGTGCAGCTTCAAACACCATGGAATGTTTCCAAGGACTGAATAATTGTTTCTGTTGATTATCCATGTAATATTTTAACTTTTCCTCACTGAGGAAAGAAAGTTTATGATCTCTGAAACCTCTGCCCAAACTCCATCAGGCCCCTCAGCATAATCAATTAACTTTTGGAAGAAATGCAGTGGATGGCAACAGATTTTTTTCAAGAAAGAGGATGAAAGATGATAACTGCCAAGAGAGTAATGTGAATTTGATATTTTAAACCAGAAAAGAATAGGCAGGATTAACATGGTTAGGATGTGACCACTGAGGATCTGGGAGTTTGGGGCTGCCTCTTCACTATTTGTAAATTTTAAACAGTACTCCTAAAGGGGTTGTAATTATTTTCTTTATTTAGAAATATGCTTTTTATCTAGAAATGAGTAAAAACTAAAAATAATTTTTTGGTTTTATTTTAGGGTTAATGTGTCAAGGTGGGAATAGATGGGTCTGGAATGCCAGTTCTACAAAGGCAAATGTTTTAATTACGAGCAGTGAATTAACTGCAGAGCTTTCATTTGAGGGTGCTGCCCTGTTTGTGACTCCTGGTAACATGAGCACAATGCTCTATTTCCATGGTGTGGGTTCTTGGAACCTTTTAAAGTAACAGCAGCTGCTCTCTGCAGTGTCACATGACACGTGGCCCTTCCAGTTCCACTTCAATTCTGCCATCAGCTGGGGGCTTTTTCATCATCCTCAGATACTGTGCTATTATTACTATTATTTTTTTAAACTGCAGCTGAATAGTAGTAAAATATTTCTTTACTTTGTGGGTTTTTTTTCCTTTTACTATAACTTAAGCACACAGACTGCTCTCTATTTGAGATGATTGGGATGGAAAACCAAATTACTTGTTATGAAGCACAAATGCTGCCAAAACTGAAGGTATCTGGAAAACTCATTGAAGAGATCTCCTGCTCCCCTTCATCACCCAGACTTGAGCCAGTGAAGCTCCAACCAAACAGGTATGTAATGTTCAAATGATTAATTAATTTTTTATTGGTATTTTTTTAAAGCAACAGATGAAAAAGAGTAATATTTGTGAGGGCTGAGAGGGTTCATTCAGAATTATTTATTTTTTTATCATTTGTTTCCAAACTGATCATTGCTAAAGACTTTATGCCTTTAAAGTCTTCTCCCTCAGTCTTCTGAGGGAAAGCAGAGTGCTTCTTACTGTTTAATAGCTCATTTCATTTATGAAAGCTCAGTTTTGATCATTCTGGCCACACTCAAGAGTTGAAGTCATTTGTGGTTTTGATCAAACTCTGAAAATTTCTTCTGAAGTAGAGTTTCTTAAGCAGAATAATTACATCTTCTCCTTCTAGTTATTTTTCAGAGGTACTTACAAAAGACTTAAAGATTTTTTTTGGGGGGGAGGGAGGAGAGGGGGAGGGAAGGACAAAGGGAGAAAAAAATGCTCAGTTAAATTTTGAGCTTATTTGATTTTTGCTCCTGATTCTTCCCTCAGAAGATAAGTTAGGAGGGTTCAGTTTTGAGTCTTGGAGCAAATGTAATTCTGCTGTAGAGCAATGTGGAGTTAAATATTACAGCAAATTAGCCTGATCTGAGAAGAGTATGGTCAGTGAAGCCCAGGACAGCTTGTGTGACGTGTGGCTGTGACAGGTGACAAGGAGGATGCACCTCGTGTTCTTAGGCTGTTCTGCCAGAAGAGAGCATTGGCAGTTAATGAAGTTAAGGACTTGGAAGTGATAGCTGAACTATATATGTAAAACAGAAGAAGAACTCATTCTTTTTCTGTTTAGACATCTCTGGTTTCCTGAAAATAGCACACATAAAACAGTTACTGTGAAATCAGCTCTTACAATTGCAGTGTTTTTGAAACCATACCTGTGGTTAAAGCTTTCTCCATTAAGAAGTTTGACCCTAATTAGCATCTTCTGGGGAGTTCTCTTGCTGTCTCCAGACTCCAAAGATGACTGAGGGATATGGGAGTTCTGTTATTCCCCTTCCATGTAATCCTTCAGAGAGGACTGGAGCATCAGACGTTTGGTGTACTTGAATTTTACAGTGTAGTGTGTTTCTTCTGTGTGTTGAGAGAAGCAGAATCCCTCCTGCCATATGCTCTTCATCTGGGTACCTCTTTCAGCTCAGATTACTGACTAAAAATAATATTTTTGCCAGTAGGCATAAAGTAGAAGAGCAGATTTATTTTTCATTGCAATACTAAAGCTAACATTTGTCCTTGTGTCACAAGTGTCAGCTTTTCTCCTGCTCTCTTCTCCATTCATAGAACTCTTGCATGAGCTAAACTATCCTTTTTTTCAAGTTTGTTTTTTTGCATAAGCTTTATCTTGTTACAGTAGATTCAGAGAAGAATTTTGAATTTAAAGGGTATTCCAGAAGAAAGAGACAACTGAAGGAACACCTGGACAAAATATTCTTCTGGAATGAGTGTCATATTTCCAGAACCTCCCTATATGGCAGAGACCTGTTGGAAACTTGCTTTGGGATCAGTGAAAGAAAAATCTCTCACATTGTTGTGCCAGGATTAACAAGTGGTGCTGGCTTTGCAAATTGCTTTCCATACTCCAGCACTTCAGAGGCTCTAAGGATCCATTGCAGGAGCTCATTCTGACACTGAAACAGCAGCAGATTGTCCTGAAGGATGTTATTTCCAGGTAATTGAGACAAATCATGTGCAGTTCTTTGCACAGATTTGATGAGTGTGTGCTACCCTCCAAAACAGAGTATTTATGTGAACAACTGTAAAATGCTCAATGATAAATAGGCTGCCTTGTTTTATCCTTCTTGCAGACTACATTCCTCTATGTTGAGCCTATTTGCATCTCAGATGTATAATTTTGGATCATTCTAGGACCTGAAACTCTCAATAGTTCCATGGCAACTGTTATTAGTTATATAACAATGCTACTTTATTTTGACATATCTTGTATTTGTTGTGTTAATGGTGACAAAAAAGAAAAAAAATGTAGGAGCTGTAATAGGCTTCTCTTGGTAACTTTATGGATAGTGGTGATTTCCTCTTCATTTTTTTTTTCACTTACTGGATGTTAACTTAAAACTACATGTCCTGATTTACTTTCTATTACCTTTAGCCAGGTGCTTTGTGCTTCTTTGCAAATATTACTGGGTTTGATTATTTAATAGTCCAAGTGGATAAAAATGAGTATAACAAAGTTTTGATTTGTGTTATAGAGACCTGGAACCTGTGTGTTCCCAGCTGTAGTTGTTGCTCCTCCATGTTTGTATGGAGCAAATCCTTCTTACACATGGACCCATGGAATGAAAGTCGTGCAGTTCAGTCTTAAGGAGCAGAGATGGTGCAGCATGAGTCAGGTATTAAACAGCAGCATGGGTCACAGCTCTGTGCAGGGGCTGTCTCTTAACTGTGAGTGTCACCTGCAGAACCCTCACGTCTCATTCAGAACCAGGCAAGCTGGGGGCTCTGGCTGTCCTGCTTTGGCAGCTGAAAGCAGAAGGGACAGCAGGTGCTGATTTTGACACAGATGATTGCAGTGCTCAGCATCCTGGAGCTTTTCCTGAATTTCCATTTCCTCACGTTGAGTGAGGGTTAGTGAGAGTGGTGCTCACAGCTGGCATTATCTGGTAAGAGGATCTCTTCCTCAAGCTCATAGTGAGTAGATGCTCATGGTAGGAGGGGAAATGCTAAAGGGAAGTCTGAGACATTTGCAAGATTCATTTACATAATGTCCTTACTTATTAAAGCAAATTATGTACGTAGCTGTAGCTCAAATATGTAATTATATATGAAATATGTCAGTCATATTACTATTTGATGAGGCATTTAGGGTGTTTCCAAGGAGTATACCACTACTTATCCTATGTTTATGAGCAATTTGTGCTTCAAATGCAGATGGTTTTTTTTCACAATAGCCATTTGATTAATTTGCTTTTGCTTTCATTATCTGTAGCTATTTACATTGTTAATACTTTAAGTGTAGTTGGTGTTTTTATGTTGGCAGTTCCTCAGCCTTACTCCAGGGGCTTTTATTTTTCGTGGAGTGCCCTGGCATTGCCTGAGGATAAATTGAAAGTATGCTCCTTTCCCTCCCCAGTAAGATTCTCTGTATCCTCTGGGGCCTACAATTTGAGCAAACACTAACAATATATTGAAATTTTTCTTATTTTTTTATTCCAAATTGCATCATTATGCTTTCTGTTAGATGCAGTATAATACATAAAAGAATACTTTGCCTTGAAGCAACACAAGGCAGCACAACAGAAGGGATTTGATTTAGTCAATAGACAAGAAAAATGATGGAGCATGTACAGGAACAACAACTCAGTCAGGTGTGCTTAGTCATAGGACATAATGTGATTACTTGTAATAGATCTCCAGATTTTATATTGCTGACTGCACCATAAATTAATAGCTTTAATGGTAGACAAATTAATTATGAACTGTGTAGATCTATAATGTGGGCAGTCAGATAACTTGAAATGTTTGCACACTTAATGTAGGTTGGGAAAATAATAAGAAAGCAATTTTTCCAATCTTCTCACTCTGTTAAAAAAAGTTTGTTTAGAGATTTATCCTATATTAATGTCAATTTATAATTTAGTTGCTTGTTTCCCTGTTTTAGGAATTCATAAAAAGCTTCAGCCAAGACAAGTGATCCTTCTGTGCTATCCTGTCTTCCCACACTCCCTCCACAGGTGTCAGTCACACAGATGTGATTCCTGTTGTCTTCTATGACAAAGATGGAATGGTGTGACAAAAGTGCAAGAGGCAGAGATACCCACACATACAGGTGAATTTCATGCTAAGAAACCAGTGTTTTAAAACCAAAAGTAGAGAGAAGATGATCTGGGGAGAAACTAGGATTTTTGGTTGAGTAGTTTAAGTAATTTGATCTTTTAAGATGCCTTCAAAGATTATATCATACCCCTTCCCTTCAGACTAGGGGGAAAATGAAAATCATGTCCTTCCCACACTGCTGCTTCTGTTCCTGTCTTTCCCTCCCACTTTCATCTAACAAACCATCTGCACTTCTCTGTTGGGACAGCCAAAATAAATGTGGGTGTTTTCAGCCCTTGCTAAACAAATGCCATTCGTGATTATCACTGAGGTTCAGATCCAGTGACGAGATGCTGGTTTTGTAGTTCTGAGATGTATTTGAAAACTTCTCTCAAGTGACTGTTTCTTGTCTTGGAAGGATGTGCTGAGAGCACAAGGGATGTAATGGGATTCTTTGTTTTACAGGCTTGTAAGTGGTAATGCTATTGAAGAGAGGCTGTTGAAAAAGAGTATTAAACATGATTCAAGAACTGGCTGCTCAGGGAAGGGATTGTTCAACAGACTTTTTATCTCAGGTACTGTAACATTAAAAATGTGAGCAGTTATTTAATGATACATAAAAAATAAGTGTTTTACTAGATCTGAGACAGAATTTTGAAAAGGTAGTGGTTTATTTATTTCTAGGTTTGTTTGGGAACCAGTGATATGTGTTCACAGTTAAATTGAACAGAAATCCTGAACTGTCAGCTCATATAGAAAATCAGAAAGTAACAATATCTAATAAATATTGATAATATTGATATTGATAAATTGTAATAAAGATTTGCCTGTTCCAATGATAATGTTACCCTTTTATTTGCATTGTTTTAATCAATCAAAAGCAACATCTGCAGCAAAAGGTGTCAAATACATCTGTAATCTGACTTTGCTAAACTTGATTTTAGGATGACTTAAAAATTTTTGCATTTTTTCTTAAAGGTCTTGGATCCTATCAGTGATGTGGTTAACTCTTGTAACAATGTTTATCACTCCCCAAAGCAATGCCAAAATTGTTACATAAAAACCATTACAGGTCCAGAGGGGAAGGAGAGTTTAAGTTGAAACTTGCTTTGCATTGTGAGGACTTGGGGGCTTCTGGGGTCTTTTTTGTTGGTTTTTTTTTCTTTTTTCTTTTAATTCCTCATGGCTGTTAAGAGTACTACAAGAGTGTTTACTGAGCAGAAACATAACTAGATTTTAGAATTTTATATAGCTTGGTATACAGGTAAATGTTAGTAAATACCTTCTTCTAACAGTTTGACTAATATAGGTTATTTTTATTACATTTACATACACTTAGGAATATAAATTCCCCCAATGTTATGACAATATGACCTTGGATGTATAATTTTCCACTACCAATATGTTAAAAATAAGGGAGGTGAGCTATTTATTTTAACTTTTAAGTGGTAGGATATGAATTGTCTTCAGTCAAGACTATTGATAACTATGAATTTTGAGATGGGGCACTTTTGATTATGTACTTTTGGTACCTGAGCTTTCACTTTGTATTTATTGCAGAATGTAGGTGGTCATCTCCTTGTGTTAGACAAGCCTGTGCTAACGACCAGAATTCTGATTGTATTCAAATCTGTATAAATCCCTTTGAGTTGATGACAATGACTACTAGAAAAAGAAGTTCCTCATATAGATTTCTCTAAGTTTACTTCCACTGTCAATGTTTTTCTCAGATTTAACAGTAAATCACTGGTGGTCTGGTGGTGAATGTTTTCTCTTGAGCACAAATGTATTTCACGGGGACCTTTTTCTTATCAAAGGCTCTGTGATGATCTTTAGCCTTAAGTAGTTTTCCTGTCCAAGAACCAAATCTGTGCTCGTGCTGATGTAAAGACAAGCCTGAAGTGCTTCAGCAGCGCTCCATCTGGTGCAGCACAAGTCCGGTGACCCTCCTGAGCATCATGAGTGCCCGTTGTCTCTTGTCCTGTAAGCAGGCACCCCCGAGCAGAGCCGGCGGTGCTCCGCGCTCCCTGCAGCCGGGGCTGGGGTCCCCTCTCAGCTCCGGGCTGACAGCGCCGGCTCGCTCAGCCTTTTCCCGTCGGAGATGCTCCAGCGCTCCATCACCGCCGTTCCCGCGACTGGCCCCGCTCCCGGGGATGCAACCCCCGCCAGCTGCCAGTGTGGATTTTCACTCCGTGTCTTGAAGAGTAGCGACAGAATCTACCCATTCTCGGTGCTCACGCTACCCTGCCTCTGCTACAATAAATATCATTTTCCTGCGCTGTCGCCGAGCCCGTTCCTATCGCGACAGGCCCCGCGGGCCGCCTCCGCGGAGCGCGCAGGCGCGGCGCTGGCGCAGGCGCGGCGCGGGCGGGGGGAGTCCCCGCGGAGCGGCGGCGGGGCCGGGCTTCGCCCCCGGCCGGGCGGCCCCGGCGCGCTGCTCGCACACAAAAGGCGATCCCTGCTTCGGGACCTCCCTATCGGCCTGTAATTAATTAAGTGTTTTCACTGGGGCCGTAAGTGGTAGTGAGGTGCGGGTAATTAAAATAATAAGACCTTATTGTTGGTGGTATCGTTTGAATCTTAATTATTTGGTGTCGGCGCTGTGAAATAACCACAATACATCGAAGAATTGCAGTATTGTTAAATCTTTTGGAAAAGGGGCCTGTAAGGAGTGCAGTTCTTTCCCCTTCCCGCTCTACGGAGCTCGTTCGCTCAGGTTTGAGCTCCGGAGAGTGGGAGAGCCGAGACCCGCCGGGATGAGCCCCGGTGCCGGACCATCGACACCGGCCGGGATGAGCCCCGGTGCAGGACAGTCAGAACCGGCCGGGATGAGCCCCAGTGCGGAGAGCCGAGCCCCGGTGCGGGAGAGGCGGAACCGGCCGGCGGAGCCGCTGTGCCGCTCCGCGGTACCCCCGGCACGGGAGGTCCCGGGTTCTCGGGCCCCTGTCGCTGCTGGCGCGTGTGTGACAGCGCTGCTCTGCTCCACCTTCCCGGACAGCCGCCTTTTTCCCGGGGCAAGGAAGGGAATCTCCATCCCCAGGGCTCGGGCAGATGGCTGCAGGCAGCGCAGGACAGGAGCGCTGTGATGTGCTCCCTGCCTGGGCAGCGGGAGAGCCCGCAGCGCCCGCTGCATCCCGCCGCTTCCAGCGCTGCTCCGTGCCGGTGTGCTGCTGCCTGTTGCCGCCTGCGACCGACTTGGAGTTAGGAACACAAAGGAGTGGCAGCATCTTTCTGTATGTTTGGCCTGAAATGCTAAAAGTGAAAGTGTTGCTTTCAAAAGAGGGGAGAGATTTTGAAACAAAACAAAAAAAAAATCATCAGGTTTCATTTTCTCTTGCTGCTATTTCTGTGTGACTCCCAGCCCTGAATCTACCTGTCAGTGCATGTCATTGGAATTTTTGTTTGTCTGTAATTGAAATACAAAACCAGAACGTTTTGGGATTTCTGGGTAGCTAGACTCAATAAACAGCGTTTTAAATGAAATGCAGTTTTGGTTAATTTTTGTCTCTTTTTGTGTTCTGAAGGAAAGAGGAGGCAAAGTTAAGGATCAAATACAGTAGTTTTGCATACATTAAGATGACTTGGCCTTCAGTAGCTAGAACAATAAAGTTCAATAGTCTGTCCATTTTCTTATTTTTAGTTGCTGTTGAAACAATGGACTGTACATTTTAGCAATTACATTTACCATAACTTTGCATTAAGAGTTAAAAGCACTGAAACATTGGTAATAATGAACATGACAAAGAATAGATGCCTTTGATGCTGGAAACCGTTGTTTCTTGAAGTTCCACAACAAGGGAAAAAGTCCTGTTAATTCTTTTTTTTTTTATTATTTGAAGTCGTTCTACCTAGCTAACGGTAACATAACATTTATAAGACTATTCAATAGCGGTATTAGCTAGAGAAATTTATGAGGGATTTAAGTGAGATTTGGTTGTGCTGAGGGTTTTGAATTATTTGAAACACGTTAAGTATCTGCAAAGCCAGGATAACAGTTCTTACTGTAAGGTAATCTTTCTGGTTGTAGCTAAATAGTTTCAGTTGCAGAAGAGTTTTTACATTCCCTGAATGTCTGTTTTTGTGTATTTCTTTAGACTATACTGTAAAACCTTAGATCAGTGAGAATGCACCATGGCAATGGTCCTCAGAATGCCCAGCGCCAGCTCCAGAGATCCAGGTCCTTCACGGGCAGTGAGGGAGAAGAACAGCAGGCAAACTTACCCCAGTCCCCCGCGGCCTCCTTCGCGCCCTCTGCGAGCCCCTCAGCGCCGCAGTCGCCCAGCTACCAGATCCAGCAGTTCATCATGAGCCGGAGCCCCGTGGCCGGGCAGAACGTCAACATCACCCTGCAGAACGTGGGCCCCGTGGCCTCGGGCAACCAGCAGATCACGCTCACCCCGCTGCCGCTTCCAAACCCCACGTCCCCGAGCTTTCAGTTCAGCCCCCAGCAGAGGCGCTTTGAGCATGGATCCCCCTCGTACATCCAGGTCACCTCTCCGCTGCCGCAGCAGGTGCAGTCCCAGAGCCCCACGCAGCCCAACCCGGTGCCGGTGCAGGCGCTGCCCAGCGTCCGGGCGGGCACTCCCGGGCCTGGCCTGGGCATGTGCAGCCAGAGCCCCACCAGAGGGTTTGTGGATGCCAGCGTGCTGGTGAGACAGATCAGCCTGAGTCCTTCCAACGGCGGGCACTTCGTGTACCAGGAAGGGCCGGGGATTGCGCAGATTGCTCAAGGAGCTGCTGCACAAGTGCAGCTTCCATCGTCGGGGCCGCCTGCCACGGTGAGGGAGCGGCGGCTTTCGCAGCCCCACTCGCAGTCTGGGGGCACCATCCACCACCTCGGCCCTCAGAGCCCCGTGGCCAGCGGGGCAAATATGCAATCTTTGACTAGCCCGGGCCACATCACAACAACCAGCTTGCCGCCCCAAATCAGCAATATTATCCAGGGGCAGCTAATGCAACAGCAGCAGCAGGTGCTTCAAGGGCAGCAGCTGAGTAGACCCATTGGATTTGACAGGACTTCTGGTGGATTGATAGCAGGGGTTGGAGGACCGAGTGCATTTGGAATGACATCTCCTCCTCCTCCCACGAGTCCTTCACGGGCCACTGTGCCACAGGGCCTGTCGAGTCTTCCTCTCACTCCTACAGCTAACACAGCAGTGAAAAAACAGCCCAAGAAGTTGGAGGAGATTCCTCCTGCCAACCAAGAAACTGCTCAAATGAGAAAACTATGTTTGGATCATCACCACAAGCAGATGGAAATTCTTAAGGAAACTTTTAAGGAATGTTTGATTGAACTGTTTTTCCTGCAACATCTTCAAGGGAATATGATGGACTTTTTAGCTTTTAAGAAGAAACATTGTGTTCCCCTGCAAGCATACCTGAGGCAAAATGACTTGGACCTGGAGGAGGAAGAAGAGGAAGAACAATCTGAGGTCATCAATGATGAGGTAAGAAACTTTGCTGGAATAAAATCATAGATGAAGTTTTAGCACTGGGATTGTGAAGTATTAAAGAATGGGACAGGACATGAAAAATCATTTTTGCTTGGTGAAGTATGGCAGTTTTTCGTAAAATAGTTGGCCTGAAAGAGTGCAGTTCTGCTGGGTAGTGTGATTCAATGGGTTGGTTTGAGCGTGCTGTCAGATTTTTGGATTTAAAATGAAAGCATAGAGAGGGAGCTTTAACTGTCCTAGCTGCACACAAGTAAAGATGGTAGAAGTGTGGAAATGGTTTTAAGCTCTCAGAATGGTTATGACTAGGAATCATGGTTTGAATTTCACTTAACTAGACCTGGACAAACCAAAAAAGAACGAGCAAAAGTATTAAGAGGTTGACCTGACTCATGTGACTTCTGATCATAGATGTTACTGAAGTTCAGTGTTGCTGCAACCCAACAAAAAATGTGAATTAATCTAATTAGTGAGGGAGAACGTGTGTAAGGGTCCACAGTCATGTATTACATTATTCAGCCCTGGAGCTCTGTGTGTGAGCTGCTGTTTAAAGAATTAACAGCCAGCACTTACAGGCTGGACATTGACAAGTTCACTTTGTTATTTATGCAAAGGTTTAAATTCCTAGCTTGAATTCATTATTGATGGCAAAGAACTTGAAAGAAGCTTGCCACAAACAGGTGCTGTGCAGCTTTTCCTGCATATTTGTACCTATCTGTGGATGCTGGAGCACTGGTCTGGTGCAGAGCCTGCCCACAAGCCAACTTGGCAAGTGGTTGCAGCAGGGTAGATGGAACTGATGCCCCTGCACCTCTTGGCACTCATAAATATCTTCTAAAATTTGTGAACTATGTAGCTGGCAGTTTGTAGAAGAACCAATATTATGTAAAGAACCTCATGTTGCTTTGAATACCCCTTGGAAATGAGTGCCTTCACTGAAATTTGATGACTCTTAGGCATGAATCATTAGCAATCATACCTTCAGTTGGAATTTGTGGGAAATTTTAACAGAATAATGGCTGAAGTTTAATTTGTTCAGTACTTAGTTGTATAAGCTTCTTAATTAGGAAAAATCTATTTCTGCTTGTGACATTTGTTACAATTTTGAAGGAATCATTATATAGTAACATAAAAGCTAGCCTGTTACTGTAATTTATTGACAATGGATATTCAGTATTTTATTTTTCACCTGGTTTGTGTTTTGTCAAATTGTTTAGGTGTTCTTGTTGGGTTGCGTGTTTGTCAGCTGAAATAACCAGGTATTTTTAACTACCATCTGCACACTTTGAGGGATCTTTAGTGGGTGTAAATGGTACAGGTTCCTTGAAGTCAGTGGTGCTGCTACACTTTAAATGAGTTGAGGCTCTACCCTGTGGTGTTTCGGGTTGAGAATTTGCTGTACTTCACTGCCTTCTCGTGGTGGATCCTCTTTTGTTTGTGGAAGCTTCTTGTCCCTGTAACTGCTGGAGAATTTTGCAAAGTGCACCAGCAAATGTCTCTATGTGTTTTCAAGTGATGAATCCTTCTGAAAGATTAAGACATCTTTTGAGTATGTTCTTTCTTTGTATTTTGTTGTTGTCTTCTGTTTTATTTCCCCCTCCCCTCTTTATCACTTTCTGCTAAAGCAACGCGCTTCATCCCTTGCCTGGAAGGTTGATTTCTTTGGGAATTTGAGGGGAGAGTGAGTGGTGGCTGTGCTCATTGCTTAAATAAATGTTGAAGCTCTCTTACGTTCAAACTGTCTGTCATGCTAATTTGTTGTCCGTTAGCAGCAACAATCATTCAATTTAAAACACACTTTTATGTTAACTGGATTTAAGAAAACGTTTCCAGTGACGAGAAGTCACAATAAACAGTCAAGGCTGTGCTCTGTTCTGCTATTAAAAGTAAGACAGAACTCTAAAAATGGGCTGTGCTCAAAACAAGCTGTACTGGTGGTGGTTTAGTTATTATCCCCTCTTCAGTGAGGTGCCATCAGTACCAAAGGAGTGTGTTGAACAGTTAAAAAAAGGAAAAACTTCTAAAAAGAAAATGATTCTCCCTTCTTTTTTTTTTTCCCAAAATATTTCTCTCAGGTAAAGGTTGTGACAGGAAAGGATGGGCAGACTGGTACTCCTGTCGCTATAGCAACCCAGCTTCCTCCAAATGTTTCTGCTGCTTTTTCATCCCAGCAGCAACCATTTCAGGTACTTTTCAATGGTTCTAAAATGTAGTTTCATCCCAGATTTTTTTTCTTCATTCAGATTTGATATTTCTTAGATGAATTAGAATTTTCCCAAGAGCCCATCCCTTATCATCTAAACAAAATCAAAAAACCTCTTCAGTCTTCAAATGCATCAGTAGAAGCCTTGAGGAAGTGAAAGCTTTGTCTCCAGGTTGCTGGCTTATTGCATTAACTTTCAGCTTGAATGTTTTCACTTTGGTTTGTTTGTCTTTTGTATCCCTAATGCATTTGGTTCATTTGTGCATTCTGCGTAGTGATGATATGGATTCTTTGTCTGTGGCATTGTAATTGTGGATTTCTTCTAAAATTCTTTTCTTTTTTTTTCTTCCCCTTGTGTATTAAAGGTTTTGAGTGTGGCTACAGAAGGTTTTGGATTTGCCTTTCCTGAGATGTGTTAAACAATATACTAATTCTCTGACACAATTTGTTTTAAATAATTAACTGCTTTCCATTAGCTCTACCATAAATGTTGGGAAGAAGAAACAGAAGTGCTTTTTTTTTTTATTATAATAAGTAATTTTTAACAATTTTTTTCTTTTTTTCACGAGGAATGCTGGAGAAAGCCAAGAAATAAATGTGATAATCAGTTAAAATATTTGTGATCAGTGATGATACAGCTTTTCAGTTTGGTGTGGTTTTATGCAGCTGCCTTCAACTCTGTTACCCAGACATCACTGCATACATACCCTGAGAAGTAATATACCCTAATTCCATCTGCAACTGAAATATTTACCTTTTAGCTCAGTGACATGCTTAGCAGGTGTTGCAGGGTGAATTACTCTGCTGTACCACAGCAGCTGTACAGGCTGCGCTGCCTTTATCTGGGCTTTGGAAATGGAAAGTGAAATGAAATACAGGATGGGTTGTGTTCCTGTGTGTAACAAATGGGATGTTCCCTGTGATATTGTGCAAAGGAGCTGTGCAGCAAAGGGGATTGCACTGAGAGCTCTTCCTTAGGGCCAGTACTGATATATCTTGGAAGTCTCCTTAGGTAGTCAGGCTTCATTTAAGCTGTTTAAAATAACTAATATTATATCAGTTTATTTATTGTAGTGATTGGGGTCACCACCAAGCTGTAGCTGCAGCAGTGGTGATACTTTTGAAGGTATTGTACCATGCAGTTTCAGGGAAACTGGTTCATGCTAAAAATGCACAAAACTCTCTGTGTGGTACTGACCTTTTAGCCCAAACTGCTAACAGAAAGTGGCATTTCTTTCCATCAGTCTTGCCCTTTGCAACTGTTTATGGAGAAATTATGTGTCCCAATCAGCATCACCATTCAAATCCCAGTGCAGAAGTGCAGTGCTCAGAGTGATTATTGTGTGCATGCTGCATAATCATGACCTTGGGACAGCTACATTATTTTAATTAAAGTTGGGACAGTTTTAGTCTAATATTATTGGTATGTGACTGCAATTTATGAAGACATGTCTGCTCTCTGAAGAGTCTGGCCTAAATTACATGGTGATAATGCAGACAGCTGGGAGGCATATTCTTAAGAAAATGTCAGTCAAAAATCCTAAAGTAGAGATAACAGCCTGAAACTGTGAGTATGCAGTCATCCAGAGGGAAAGAGCATGTGAAATAAATGGCATTTAATGTGGAGTTCGAAGAATATAATTTCTTAAGTGATGTCCCAGCAGCCTCTGATACAAATGGGACATAAAATGAATTTGTTAGTCAATTTAGTAGCATTTACATAATCAATTCTTGTTGCTTATTTTGCAAATTCTGTAAATGCCCAGGTCTGTGATGCTCTGCCAGACACTGGCTGTTGGATCTGAAATATGCTGCGTGTCTACCTTGTGACAAGACAAATATTTGAAAACTTGATCTCTATTGAGTGTGAAATAGCACTGAACTGTGAATATGAGTCAGACACTTAAAACCAGAATTTACATCTTAAGGCTGTATCTGTATTGCTGGAGTGGCTGCAAATGCCCTCAGAGCAGCAAAAAGATTGAGTGTTATTAATTCATAGCTATTGATTGAGTCTGAGGGGCATGAGATATATTCGGCTTCAAAAGGAGCATTTGAAACCCAGTCATTGTAGGTGATGTTGGCTGTGATTATTGGTAGCATGCAGTGAAGCACTGAAGATGCAGAATGTCACTGCTGTGATTTATTTCAATACAGACTGGTGTTTACCTCTGTGGGTTTAATTTACATTGGTAAAATTTTGTTTAAAATCGGAGAAGAAAATAAAGTATGTGAATAAAATAAAAAAAATAATTATGGGAAATTGCTATCTTTCTATGTTGTCATAAAAAAAATTCACATTTGCAAACCCTTACTATACTCAACGTGTTTAAGGCTCTCACCATTAGAAAAGTACACTTTGAGAACTAGAGGGATAAATTAGTTCATTTCCCAGGATGCAGAAACTGCCGTACATAAAGCCTGTGTTTGTATTTTCTGATGGAATCTCTTAAGACCTTTTTTGGGGATAGCCCTTATTTTTCTTATATTAAGTTTCATAGTAGAATATTTGGTACAGCATGGCCAAATATTGAGGAGAAGTTAAAAATGGCTTGGAAACTCACTGAAAGGAATTGGACTTGCACAGACACTGATGGACATTAATGAGTACTTGCCAGTATGCTGAGGGCCCAAAGAACATGAAAATTGTCATATACCCAAATTTGTTTGCTTCAGTAGTCCTGTATGTGAACCTGTCACCTGTGCTTGATGCTGAAAGGATTCTCTGGGATAGGTTCTTGCCATCATTGCTGATATTAAAAGTAGTGATTTAAAAATAAAGTTTGAATGCACTGCGTGATCTTACTGAAGCTAAATTCCAGCTTGCTGAATCAGAGCCCAGTGGTTCCTTTTGCATCTCAATATCAATAGTCCTCTTCCAAGCTTGTTAATTCATAGCTTGTGTGCTGTTTATCCACAGACAAAATGGATAGTAATTTTTGGTGAGCTCTGATGTCACCTTAGCCTTATGGCAATATTGTTTCTCCTCACTGAGTTTATTCATGAGACTCATTTTGCCAGCTGTGCAAACAGGTACAAGTCCAGCATCTGGAAAACTGGAATGAGAACTTGTGTACCTTGGCTGACATTCTTTATTCCATTTTCCTAGCTTTTTCCTGAAATATTTCAACAGTAACTCTCACAAAGCTCTGTCCTGAGAGAACTGGAGACTCAAATAAGCTTAAGCTGTTTTCAGCATGAGGATGAATTTGTGTTACTGATGTTTTGCACAGATATACACTAATGAAAATTTCCATTAATTAAAAAAAAAACCAAACCAAAAAATACTGGCCAAGTTTGTTTTTTACATATCCCATTTTCCTGAGTTTGGTATCACTTAACAATATGTAGGTGTGCATTATATATAAACAAATCCATCGCTGTAAAATTAAACTTAACGAAGAGTATTTGTGCATTGTGGACAACTAAAACTTCATAGATACTGAATGAGTCTTGTTTCCTTTGTTGTACAGCTGTTCTGAAGGACTTTTTCTGTGCTGGCCTCCTTAGATCTGCTTGTAAATTCTCTCCTGGTGTCAGACCATCTGCAGATTGAACTTCTGTGATTTGTTTTCTTTTCCCTGTAGCAAACGCATACAGGGACTCCAGTGACGGGGACTGTGAGCACCATAGAGATTGAAGCTTTTAAGAGACAGCAGCAGGCCCTTGCACCAGCAGGTATGTTCCACAGGCACAATTCCACTTCCATCCTCTTTTTTTTTCCAAACAGTGATTGGAGCCCGCTGTTCAGAAATACATTTTTGCCTCACCTTGGGAATCACCAGATCCTTAGGACTATCTACTGTGACTGGTGCTGTGGGAAGAGTGCACTCCACTCCCAGTAGATAGGCCTGGATTTGGCAGGCATGGAGACATGGTTAGGTTGATTGTTCTGGCTGAGAAGATTGGAGATGGCCAACATGAAGTCAGAGGGACTCTGCCCCTGGAGCATGTTCTTCATAAATGCTACACATGTACAGTAGTTGTAGCTTTCGGAGCTGACGGTGGAATCATGTGTAGTAGTTTGCTTTGTGAAATTGAACCCATTCCATTATACCATGCCATAAATGGAATTTGAATATCACAGATTCGTCTAAGAGACCACGAATTGAAGTGGGCCGTCATGGGATGGTTTTTCAGCACCCGGGTGTGGCTTCAGGAGTTCCTCTTCAACAGCTAATGCCAACGGCACAAGGTACTGTGTCACCACATGCCAGTTGCACATTAATTTCACAAGGAGATGTTGGTGATGGAACTAGAAACTTGGGCTTCCGGCCTGCCAAGATCCTAGTCCCACCACACACTTCTCCATGTAAATTAATACTTGGTATGCAATGCCTGGTTTGTTTAAGGAGCTGAGTGACGGGCTCCAAAAGTGCATGTGGGCATGGAAAAACGTCACAGGTGCTGATGCAAAATGGCCAATCTGAGAATTCTGGAACTGAACCGATGATTTATGAAAAGGAAACCATCTAATTGGAACATCATGACAAATTTTTATTCATTAGTCATTCCAAGCTTTAGAGTATGTGTTAGAGTGAATGTGTTCTTAGAAAGAGCTAAGTAGTATTTAGACTTCATGCTGGTATTTTAGGTTAAATTCCATTAGTTCACCAGTCCTTTTTTTTTTGAGTATACAAAACTTAGAAGACCTATAATGACATGCTCTTTTTTAGTTGCTGTGCTCCAAATTTTAGTTACAGTCCCGTGCATGAAGTACTTCGTTGTTTATTGTAATAGTGATTTATTTTGTGATTGTGATGTGGTATTTTCAAGTGATGGTGTCTTGTGGCAAAGTAAGTAACAAAACCACTCTATTCGCAGTCGATTTCCTCCTTAAATCAACAGAGAGCATCGGATGTTTAATGTTTCAATCTCACCTGCACGTGTCTCCTCTTGCCCTGCAGGTGGGATGCCTCCCACTCCGCAGACGGTGCAGCTGACGGGGCAGAAGCAGAGCCAGCAGCAGTACGACCCCTCCAAGGGCCCTCCGGTGCAGAACGCGGCCAGCCTGCACACGCCGCCGCCGCAGCTGCCGGCGCGCCTGCAGCCCGCCAACGTCCCCATGGCGTCGCTGCCCGCCACCCTGCAGCTCCCCCAGCAGCAGCCCCAGCTGGTGGAACCTCCAGCCCAGCCGCAGATCCAGGTGAAGATCCAGCCCCAAAGCGTGCCCCTGACGGCCGCCCCGCTCCCAGCGCCGCTGCAGCAGCAGGTGCCACCAGCGATCCACGTGCAAGGACAGGCGCCCAGCCAGGCGTCGCAGCCGCAAGCTGCCATACAGCAGCAGGTACGGGAGCCTTGTGGGGTGGACATGTGTTTGTTTCCATGGCCAGTAAAACCTAAAAGTGCTGGCTTCATCTCTGAATTCCACTGGACAATTAAATCCTTTCCTTGTAAAAATGCAGGCGTGTCGCCCTGTTCTTCTAAAGTTCTTCTAAGCCTTCTGGTGTTTACATTTTTGTAATAGAGTTTCTCACGCGCTTTTCATGTAGATAATGGTTGTTTTGTATTCCTTTCTGGAAGACGAGAAAATTGATAAACTGTTAGTTTGACCAGTGTGGTTGGAGAAGTAGCAATTTCATCCTCCAATCCATGGTCACTTTTAGAATTCTATAAATATCGAAGTCCAGAAATAAGTGCACTTTTTTTGCCTTAGACATCTCAGCATGTGAATGTCATTCATTTTGTGTCATATTGCGACACAAATGTACATTTGTTATTAAGTTAAAGTCTCCATTATGTTCTGCTCTAGTGTAGACTAAATATTGAATCCTCAGCTCATCAGTAACCAGTGTGTTTCTTGGGCAGACTGTGACTCTGACACGGCCATCTGCAGATCCTGCTCAGAGTTCTCAGCGTCTTGCAGCAAATCCACTGCCACCTACCTCATCCATCGCTCCAGCAGCGATCCCAGGCACAACACCGCCTTCTCCATACCCAGTGCAAACAAACAGGACCTCTCCAGCAACCAACAAATCCCTGTCTCCTATTGCATCCAAGCCTCCTGGCTTAGCAGTAGCAGCAGCAGCACCTAAAACACAAAGTCCAGCTCAGAATGCAGCGGTGTTGCCACAAGAAAACTCTCAAGACAAGCTGGCTGAGCAAGTCAAGCTGGTAAGATATTCTGTGTGATGCTTTTACACTTTTATTTTCCTGTCAATTAATTTAATAAAGTGGGAGCAATTACTATTTTTCTCTGATTCTACAACTTCAGGTGCATTCTGCAGCTTCATTGTAAGTCTCTGTACTTCTTTTTAGGAAAATCAAATCCACCAGCGGATAGCGGAACTGAGAAAGGAAGGTTTATGGTCCCCCAGGCGACTGCCTAAACTTCAGGAGGCTCCAAGGCCAAAATCCCACTGGGATTATTTGCTGGAAGAAATGCAGTGGATGGCCACTGATTTTGCCCAGGAGAGAAAGTGGAAGATGGCAACTGCTAAGAAGGTACTTGAAAACCATTTTATAACTCAGAGCAATAAATGTTGATATCACGCAGTTTGGTAGCAAAGCTGTGAGGTATCTTTTGTCACAGATAGAAGTAAAGGAAAGATGAGGCACTAACTTCTACCTCAAATGAGAAATTTTGTTGTCAGTTTTGCATATGGCACCTGAGACAGGCTGGATAATTGTACAGATTGTGGATGCAAATAACAGTTTGTGCATTTTATTCCTCTGGAGATCAAATAGCTTTTTTAGGAGCCCACTCAATATGTTGACTGGGTTATATTTAAATAAAAACTGGAGTTGTCATGCCTGTCTCACAAATGAGTTATTTCCAGATAATAAAGAGTAAATACAGAATTTTGTAAATAAGTTCCATTGGGTGTGGTTGTCCTCTAGTCATTTTTTCTTAATCTCACAGAAAAATAGGAGTAAAGACAGTAGTAGAAACATGGTAAAGAATTGTTTCCATAGGAGGAGAAAGCAGCACTGCAGGAATACAGTAGTGCAATGAAAATTTTTATGGGGTGAGATGAAATATATAAAATCTGTTAATTTACAGTAAGCAAAGGTTTTCTATGGTTACCAGCAATGTTGCATGTTTTGTTTGGTACATTTATGACCAGTTTAGGGTCATGAACAGAGCAACTGAAGGTCATTAGTTTAAATTACCATATTGTTTTCTACTGTATGTTCTGAAATGATGGAAACTCAGAAGCAAAGTATTGAAATAAGTGTATTGTTTTGTACAATAAATATCTGCATTTTGAATATAATTTAAATCTGGATTTCCATTTGTGGCCAATGGTAGGTTTTTAAGAATAGGAGAAACGGGAAGGGCAAATGTGAAATGATCCTTCCCCTGGCACTTTGCTTCAAACTTCTGGAAGTCAATGTTTTAGGGGCCTCCTGAGCTAAAGGTTGCAATCAAGTCAGTCTTAACAGCCATTGACTGATCTTTCACTCATGTATGTACACTCTTTTTGAACTCATTTTAGCTTTGGTCTCTGACATTTTGTGGTGTGATTTCTGTGACTTCATATGTGCTGTCTGAAAAAAAGTTTTCTTTTGTGTGTTTGCTGCTAATTTCAGTGGAATTTTTTCTAATTTTTGTATTCAGAGAGTGAATTAAGAGTTTCCTACTTGATTGCTTAGTTATAGTTGTATTTTTTTTTCTTTGAGTTTCATGTCTGTTGCTTTACTGGCATGGTAAGAATTAGAAATATTGGAGGTAAGTGCTATGTGTGTAAAGCTATGGTCAACATCTGGCTGCTGATAACCACTATAATCTTAAGAAATGCAATGATATGTATTTTGAGGTAACCTAATTCAGTATTTCATGGTGTTTTAGATGGTAAGAACTGTGGCTCGTTACCATGAGGAAAAGAAACTTAATGAAGAGCGAGCTAAAAGGGAAGAGCAGAACAAACTGAGGAGGATTGCAGCATCCATTGCTAGAGAAATAGAGTATTTCTGGTCTAACATTGAGCAGGTAAAGTACCCACTCACTAATTCTCATGCAATTTGTGGTGGGTTTTTCATCTTCAGGAGTTTATTTGTGAAATAAAAGTGATTTATTAGACTTGCTTTACATTTCAGGTTGTTGAAATTAAACTGCAAATTGAATTTCAAGAGAAAAGGAAAAAAGCTTTGAATCTAAAGAGATTTTCAAGGAAAGGTAATTGTATTCCATTTAATAAGAAATATAGTCTGAATTCTGATGATATTGTTTTGTATAATATCACTCAGTGCAGGTTCATCTTGTTGGTGGTAAAATTGTGAGTTGCTAATAATAGGTTGTGAATAGATCTGAATAATGAGTTATGGGTTTTTATGTTTTTGTGTTAGATTTTGTTAATACTTCTTGTGTTTTCCTTTGAATGCATTTAAAAGTTCATGTAAGAAATGTAAAATTGCTAAGTGATGAATACATACATCAAGTGTAATAATTTTCCAGGTAAGGATGCAAAAGAAGACCTTTATTTGGAAAAAGAAAGTGAAATGGTGAGTCTTTGTTTTTTGAAAAAGCCATCAAATTAGTTTAAATGTGACTACATATGTTAAAAAGTTTTGATACAGGTGATTTAAAAAAAATGGTATGGTGATGATAAGATTTCACTGACAAATGAACATTCAGTCACAAGCACAAGTATAATTTTTCTGGTTAGGAAGGGAAATAGATTGTGATTGGTACATGTCTTTTGTGGCTGTGAATCTGAGATTGAAGACCAAAAAACTGTACAAAGTAATTGCCAGACTTGGGCAGGAGTTTCATCTACAATAGGCAGGGATAGACTTTGTGAGGCATGAAATGTGTTTTCAGGTGTTCAGCAGAGATTTATCTGCTGAGAGATGAAGGTGTATGTTACAAAATGGATCAAACTGAATGAAACTTGCATATCTTTTTCTCTGGATGAAATGTGTGCTGAGGACTCCTTGGCTGTGTCTGTGCAATTGGAAAAAAATGGACAAGGGATCTGAGGCCCTGAGCCATCTGTTGTGGCACAGCTGATGCCCATGTGCTGAAATCTGCCTGCATCTGAATTTCCTGCTAGGAACAAGCCTTAGCATGTGTTATCAGCCAAACTGTGGCCCAGCACTGGCTGTGAGAGTTAATTGGCACAGGCTAAACAATTCTACAGAGTGCACTGGACAGCTGAGACAGTTATAGGCCTGTGCCACATCCCTTTTTTATTGACTAGTGAAAAAATTTAGTCCTTGAGCCAGCCTGGATAAAAGTTTTGTACCACAGCTAGACCTGAATAACTTGACCCAGGAAGGGCAGACTGCACACTCCCATCAGTTCAGAATTAGAGTTTCTGTTTTTGTGTGACCAGGGAAGTGCTAATAGATACTAAGTGTCTATCAGCAGATGTTTTTGGGACTGCAAGGCATGTTTTGTTGTTTTTAAAAAGCAAAGCCCCCTGCTTATCTTTTGTTTTCTCTGATTTTAAATATTGCAATTATTTAATGCTAGGGGGGTTCATCATCTGGAAGGAAAAGAAAGGCAAGCACATCTTTGACTGATGAGGAAGGTAAGTCACTTCCCAAAATTTTGCATCCATAACATAGTACAGAATATTAAACCCACAGGTTTTCAGTCTGTTACTGTGTGGGTGCAGTGCTCTTCATGAACCAAATACCAGCTTTCATCTATTTCTTAGAGACATTAGATAGTCAATGAAATAGTAAATTATCCCTAAAAGTGCTCTAGTGAAAATTTGAAAATAACATTTTCCTTGAAATGATACTGCTATCATTATTGGTGGATTTTAATTCTTTCTGTCCTCATTACTTCATTTGTCAGGCCTTACTAATTGTTTTGAAGTTCTTTTGAGGATTTTAGACTGAAATACCCACCTGCTTTGGTTCCTTTCTTCTTGGTGACCCCTCTGTCATGTTCCTGACAAAGGAACTCCCCTGTTCAAGGCTTCAGAACAACCTGTGGTGAACATTGTCAATCAACACTTAACTGCCTTCTGTCCTGAGGCAAAAGTGCTTCTCTCCTGTTCATTTATCTTTTAAATACTGCATATAGTTGCTTTCAGATTATCTTGTTTTCCATATATATTTAATTATTTTTAAATCCTACAGACTTAGACTATTCTGTGTTTGTTCAGGGGGATAGAATTACAAGCCTCCTGAATTATTGTATAATTTTAACCCAAGATTTGCATTTGTTTTCTTGTAGTTGAAGATGAAGAAGAAACAATTGAAGAACAAGAAGCTAAAGAGGGAAACATAAACCATCAAACTGAATTGTCTAATCTAGCCAAAGAAGGTAGGCACGTGGCTTGGTCCTTCTCTGGGCTGTGCTCTGAAACAACAGCTGGAAACACACAGCACTTGCTATATTTGTAAAGAGGATTAGAGGTGGGAGACTGCAGTCAGATGTTCAGTCCTGTGTAGTCTGTGTTTAGTTTTTTCTGTTTGGAAAGCTGCAGCAGTTTATGGGGTGATGATGGACATCTGCACTTTATAAAGCAGTCCTAGTTATCACACAAGGTGGCTTGAGAAAAAGTAGTTCTCTAGTGAAGCACTGCATTAAAACCTTACACCAAGATTCTCAGCCCAAGTTCTAGGAGTGCATGGTGGACACTTAACATCAGGGACTGAACATGGACATTTAATATATATATATGTACTGTCTTGAGTATCCCAGAAGGGTTTTGTCACTGACTTGGTAGGTCCAAAAGGGCACTTAAGTGCTGGTCTTGAAGGGGTGGGTATACACATTTCAAGATAAGGTGCTTTTAGGGACAGTGCTCTGGCTAGCAGCTCTCTCTCATTAGCAATGTAATTGCTCTGCTGAGTTTGATGTGTGCAAAGCAGCCCACAGAGATGTGTCACTTAGCCTGGTACCAGCAGATTTTTAGAGGCAGGCTGCCCATCAGGCTGAGCGTGCCTGGCAGTGAACACACCGTTTCCAGATCTGTTTGTTTGGTCTGTTTGGCAGCTTGGTGGTTGCACTGAACTGGCCAGTTGGAGGGATTATAACCCTTGGCCAGTCAGCCAGGTTCCTAATGAGATTGTTTGCTGATTGATTGGCCACTGCCAGCATGTACATTCCTGCTTTAACAGCTCAGACAAGGGATCCTGGAGTTACAGCTCAGTTTTGAAACTTTTGAAGTCTTGCATTGTCTTCCAACCATTCATCTAGATTTGCTGCCCCTACCTTCCCAACTAGGGGTTTACTGAGGGTTGTTGGGTGTGGTTGTAATGCAGTAAAAAGCGGGGTATGAGAGCAAACTGCTTGGTGTAGTGCCAAATGTTCTCTGTAATCAAGGTTATTAAATAAATAATGCCATCATTCACTTAATAATTACCTCTGAAGTTAACTTCTGATTAGAGAACTGGCTTTATGCAATTGTGAAGAATGTAATGAGATTATAATTAATAGTATCTATTGTTCAAAGTTTGGTATTTTTATTTGGTATTTTTAAACTTCCATCCTTTAATGACCTTCAGCTGAATTGCCTCTGGAAGAATTGGTGAAGATGTACGAAGGTGCCTTTGCAGAAAATTTTCATTGGCCCCAGCCAAAGCCTGACAGTGAAGAGGAGAGCAGTGAGGAAGGTAAATTACTCTATGTTTAGAAGTAGTTGTGCTGATTTACAAGGTGAAATAAGTTGCTTGGCTCTTCAGGACTCTGGGAAAAGACATTTTGTTCTAGGGGAAAGCACATCTTGAGGGAATCACATTTAAAATTTCTCAGTTTGTGCAAAGAGGGCAATGTTTGCCTGTCCTGAAGGGAAGATGTGTGAGATTTTCAAGAACAGTACTGAGCCATAGAAAAGCTGAATTAAACAGCACACTTCATAAGTAGCTATAATTATACCATGTTAGCCTAGCTAGAGTGAATGTCCACAACATGTACATGAACCTGAGCTTAGGCTATTTGCATTTTACCTGAACTAGCTTGAAAATCACAGAAATACTTTTAAAAGTATACTTTTAAAATACTTTTAAAAAGCTGCCTCCCTTAGACTCATGTTGGAATCCTTGTGATCTCAATTCCTTTGTGTAACTGCTACTGAAGTTTATTTTAGATACCACTGTAATTTTTCTCTCTCTCCTAGAAATGGACGACCACATGTCTGATAGGGAAAGTCCCCAGAAAGAAGTTGTCCTCATAGACTCCCTTCTCAGCATTGACCAGTATAAGGGCATGGACAGATCAAGTCCTCCCAAGAAGCACATGCGAGACATAGCAGAAGTTGCTGCTGCAGCAGAGATGTTGTTACCTAAAGGCAGCTCCAGGATAACAACAGCAGTAAGAATCCCTATTTTCTGCTACTCTGTGTGCTGATGTTTACATAAAAACTGATTTTTTTTTCTTCATTATTTTGTAGCTTTCAGCAAGTAATTGCATTTTTTTTTGAGTTGCCTCTAGAATGTTTGTGCTTTATGCCATGCTCTGTGAATTTAACTCAGGAAAGAATATCAAATTATTCACATTACAGGTAAAATACAACACTCCATCACTGTTGTATGGGTCTCTCAGAGAATATCAGAAGATTGGGCTGGATTGGCTGGCAAAGCTGTACAGGAAGAATCTCAATGGCATCCTGGCAGATGAGGCAGGGCTTGGAAAAACTGTGCAAATTATTGCCTTTTTTGCCCATTTGGCTTGTAATGAAGGTAAGTTCATTTGGCTAACAGTTTTAGACAGGTACTGTGCCAGCATTATTTTTGTGAATTGTAGCTGGGGGTCACTTTTTTTCCCTACTGAACTGTATCAGACTTTAGTTAATGATAGGAGTACTGTGTCAGAGTAACTTCCTGCTATTTTGTGACATGATCTAGTCAAGTATAGTATCTGATCAACCTATTACTCTGTAGAAATTCTTCCGAATACTTCTAAGTTCTTACTAGTACAGAAAAACCTTACAATTGTTTAATGACCAGGAGTAGATTAGTAATTAAAATGCCTCCGTTTGTTGTTATTGGATCTCACTTTTAATGATTAATTTAATGCAATGCACTTAAAAAATCAAGGGAGAATATAAGCCATATGCATTGTAAGGAGTCTCTTTCCAGTGTTTACTGCTGTGTTTCCCCTTCTGTAGGGAATTGGGGCCCTCACCTTGTTGTAGTCCGGAGCTGTAACATATTGAAGTGGGAGCTGGAATTGAAACGCTGGTGCCCGGGGTTGAAAATACTTCTCTACTTTGGGAGCCAAAGAGAACTTAGGGCAAAAAGACAGGTGCTGTATTTTGCAACTCTTACACTGTTGCCTATACATTTAGCCTGTATATATATGTCTTATTTATTTTTTCTAATGAAGAAGTAGCTGGTTGTAAGATATTTGAGTGTTCTGCCTTAACTTTTCTGTCTCATCCTTTCTTTCCTTTTCCGTAGGAATGGACAGAACCCAACAGCTTCAATGTGTGCATCACTTCCTACAAGCAGCTGTTCAAGGGCCACACAGCATTCATGAAAATGCGATGGAAATACTTAATAGTAGATGAGATGCAGCAAATAAAGAATATGACTGAGAAACACTGGGAGGCACTTTTCAATCTCCGCAGGTACAGAGCAGAGAATTGATTTCCTGCTGGCAGTGAGTTTTTCTCTTTTCATGTCACACAGTTCTCTTCTTAACAGAAAACTTGATTAAAAAAACTCTCTTGACTTGGTCTGCCCAAATTCCTGAGCAATGTGCACCTATAGAAAAGTGCTTTTATTTGAAACAATCAGGATTCAGAGAAATGCTTGAGATCTTTTTGTTTCCACTATCATATCACTGTAATTCTTCTTTGCTGGTATTCTGTGCTCCCAAACAGATTCCCTTGTATGTTCTGATACTCTGCAATGAAGAAGCTATTTGGTGATATATTCAAGATTGAAAATATACTTTATCCCTGGTTTAATTTTATTATATCTACATAATTCTTCTGTGTGTCTGACAAACATAAAGGCATAGTAATCAGTCAATTAAAAACCTTCTTTTGTTCGCAGCCAGCATCGTTTGCTTCTGATAGACACTCCTTTGCATAACACATTGATGGAGCTGTGGACCATGGTACATTTTTTGATTCCGGGAATTTCCAAACCTTACCTGGATTTTCCAGTAAAAGCACCTAATGAGGAGAACCAGGATTATTGCCATAAACTGGTCATCAGGTTGCACAGAGTATGTTGGAATTTTTTCTCATGCATCCTACTACAAGAGTGATGGTGTTAAGGAGAGGGGGAATAAAAATATATGGTTCATATCAGAATTTGTGTCTTTTCTTAACACTTTGTTCAGTTTAGACAGAAAAATCTTGCTGAAAGTAGAGGGTTCTGCTACCAGAAGAATGTGGAGATTTCTTTAAAAAATAATACAAGGCTCAGATTTTGAAGCATGATATGCAGAAATTAAAGAGCAAATTAATGTCTACACAACTGTGTGCATAACAGAATGATTATATATAGCATATGCACTTTAACACATCAAATCTGTTAGGTGTGAATAAGTTTAGCTTCCTGTTCTAAAGTCTTTGAAGTGAGAATGTTTTCCTCTCAATTCTGCAATGTTTCAGATGATTCAGCCGTTTATTTTGCGGAGATCAAAGAGGGATGTTGAGAAGCAGCTCACAAAGAAGTATGAGCACGTGCTCAAGTGCCGTCTGTCGAGTCGACAAAAAGCCATGTATGAGGATGTCATACTGCAGCCAGGGTAAGGGCTTGGAATAGTAAATATGAAATGCTGACACTTTTAGTGCTTAAGCAAGGAAAGAAATGATTGTCATGGGGAGAAGTGTTTTAGTGCTTCTCTGAAATTTTGGATTACGACCCATGAATAAAATGTGATTACATTTTAGACTAGAGTTACAGCAGGTGATGTAATTTTATGATATTTCATGCCGATGTGATAAATGTGCATTTACCTCTGGAACCTAAGAATCCAGTTATGATGGTGAGGTCTTCTGCTGTGTTGTTTTAACATTTGTCTCTAATGAGCGGTTCTTCATTCTTTTAAAGCCCAGAGTTTTTCTACAACACCCTCCTGCCAGTGGTAATTGAGAGATGCAGGGATGAAACAGAAACAAAGCAGGGAGAGAATGGGGAGCTGGATAGGTTGTATTTGATTGTAAGGCAGCACTGGGTCTTTAAGTTTCTCTTTTCCAAATTTACTTTTGGTACAGTACTGCTTAGAATACTGCAGAAGACTTTGGTGAAACCTAAACTTGTTCTAAGACTTTTGCATAACATACTGCATTGCTCATTCTCACCTTGCTGATTTAGGGACACCTCCATAAAAGCTGCACATAAATCAATGTCTTTCTGTATAATTTATTTGGTAGAACCCAGGAAGCCCTCAAAAGTGGACACTTCATCAGTGTCCTGCATGTCCTGATGCAGCTGCAGCGGATCTGTAACCACCCTGATCTGATAAACCCCCGGCTTTCAAGCTCCTCTTATGTATCAGAAACACTGGAATACAGAACAGCCTCTCTGGTGCTGCGAGCCCTGGAAAGGGATATTTGGAAGGTCAGTAGAAAAGTTAAGGTTTTTTACCTCTCTTAGTGCCCTGGCAGCATTTCAGTACTTACTGTTGTTTTGTTATATGTGATAGGTCTACCTGAAGTTTATAAATAGAAGGAATTCACTCTTCCATAACTGTGGCTACCAAGTGTGTTCTTGCTGCATCTCCTTTTTTTTGTCATAGTGGTTTGAATTTTTCAAGTGGTTTGCAAACAGTAATTTTTCATGAACAAAGAAAAATTACCTTTGCTTTTATCATGCTCATGTTTGCAGGAATTTTCCAACACTGAAATCACTCTGGGTAGCACTGTGCTTATTTATGGCATTCTGCAATTTTCTTTTTGCTTTTACTAGCTGAAGGAAAGCAAGACTTTTTCTTTTCACGTAACAGTAAACATTCTGTTACAATGACTAAATTAGTACCCTTCTGTCAATCCATTTGAAGTACCACTATTTCTATTATTGTTAAACAAGTGATCCCACTCCTTGACATGATAAAAAATATAAAAGAAGTATGAGTAATGGAGCAGCTGACTTTTTTTTGTTTAATTTTATTTCCATCCTTCATATTTTTCTTCTCCTAAATTATAGTTTGGCATTTAAGCTTGATAGTTAACCTTCAAAGAGTTCTATTTAATTCTTTGGAAACTATGGTGTATGAAGAATTGTTAAATGTGTTTTGCTTTAATTTCCATAACTGGCTAATGATTTCAGTTCTTTTTCTTCTAATGCTTAAAATGGGACTGTCATTTAAGATTTATTTTCAAGGTTTCTAGACAGTTTTGTCTAATAATTAATATTTTATTTCTTAAAATTACACCATTTATTTTAAGTTAAAAAGTAAATATATGGAAATTTAATTCAGCTTTGAACGTAAAGAGGACTTAACCATTTGGGACATCACGTAAGACAAACAATTTTCTGAAATCCCTAGGAATCAGACCTGTCTCTTTTTGATCTCATTGGAATGGAAGACAAAATGACTCATTATGAAGCACAAATGTTGCCAAAACAAAAGGTTACCAGAAAGTTGATTGAAGAAATCTACAGCTCCCCTCCACCACCGGCAAGGCCCAACCCAGTGAAGCTCAAACCAAGCAGGTGTGTCTCCTTCTAAGCCAGAATTACAGCAGCAAAAGGTGGTTCTGCTGCAATCCTGAGTTCTCTCTGCATCTCTGCTAATGGGATTCACACAAAACCTCAGGCTTACCTTTGCATTTAATTTTTATCTTGCTTTTGTGTTTGCTTCTGAAAATAAAAATTCTGTTCTTTGAGGCATGCAATTCCATTTGAAGTTTGTTGATGGATTTCCCATAGTCCTTACTTCAGCAGCAGATGAACTTTGTTCTTGGACCTTGTTTATGGCAAATTGAGTGTTGTTTTGCAGAATTAGCATGAGGATAATTCAAGGCTAGTTGGGCCTGCAGTGTCAGCTGTGCTCTCAATGTTATGGCAGAGACATATGAAGTTTTATAGCAGTACATTTTTTAAATGTGTTTTTCTTATAGTGGTGTTCTCAGGGTAATGTAGAACTGTTTTTCTGATGCAAGAGAGCTGCCTGATGACCTGCAGCATGTTGATGTCTCTCTGGAGATTATATGGGAGCCCTTTTTTTCAGATATCTTCAGATATCTGAAAAATATCTCCTATACCTAGCCTCTTTAAGATGTTTGCTGTAATTCTGAAGCATCCTGCATTAAATTGAGTGTATGGAAATGAAAGCTTTTTTCCTTGGATTCAGCAAAATCACTTTCTATAATGTTCATTTAGGAAGCTTATGAAATAACGAGTCTTGCCAGCTTCAGCCGTCTGCAGGAAGATCAGCATCTGACATGATCTGTTTCTATGTTCCTGGGGTGACAGAGTTGACTTCTAAAGGCCAAACTGTGATCTTCCTCTAGACTTTGACTGTTTCTGCTCTTGCCAGGTTGTTCCAGCCCGTTCAGTATGGTCAGAAGCCCGAGGGCAGGACTGTGGTTTTCCCAAGCACTCAAGTCCAGCGCACGGTGACCACGGCAACGGTGACTCAGCAGGGACAAGTTCGAGGCAGATCCCCCATAGCCACGGTGTCCTCAAATCAAGGTAAGGGAGTCAGTGCCACCCTGGTCACCTGCACCTCAGCGTAGACAGATACAAGTTAGTCTGTTTAATAGAACTCCTTTTCCCTCTAGCTTATTGGTCTAGAATACTAATGGCTTAAAAATACCAACAGACTAATTGCCAGTAAAATTCCCCGCTAGTTTCTCCAGTATGATCTGCCAGTGTAATGCAAAACTAAGCTTTGTGTAACCTGTTAGCATATGGAGTAAATATGCCACAGTTGATATTTAAACTTCTGTCAAAGATGGGAATGTACAGTGCTTCTCTGTATTTATTTAGCCTTTAAACAATGCTTTCCAAATAGATAATGTTGTAAAAGTAGGATGGAGTAAGAGGTGTGGCTAGAAATCCCAGTGTGTAAGGACAAATCCGTTCTTGTAGCCGTTTGATTATCCTGTTGGAAGGTTTCTTTTTAATGCAGGTTGTTTAAAAGAGCGGAGTTAAAACCTCTAACAGCTTGCACAAACAACCCTTATTGATTGCAGCTGCAGCAGCACAGTTTCAGACAACTCAGGCTTCCACCAGTGCTCCAAGACACCAGCCCGCAGCGACCTTCACCACAGCAACTAGCGCAGCCAACCCTGTGAAACCGCGGGGCCAGACCTCTGCGCCGGCCCCGCAGCCGGGCCAGCCCCAGCCACAGCCACAGCCACAGCCCCCCCCGCACACCATCCAACAGAGTGTGCTGCCTCAGAGGCTCGTACTGACCTCTCAGGCCCAGGCACGGTTGCCTAGTAAGTGGCCTCCCCTTTCAAGGTTTCTCCCACCTTTGTACTACAATGAGGTTAAGTTACTAGGCACCCTAAGATGTGTACAGAATCGTTGTTTTTTTTTCACTCTTCTGATTAGCCTTGCTCAGTACGTTGCTTATGACCAAGGAAAATCGAAAATTGGATAAGAAACAATAGAATTGCTGTGGACATACATTAGCGGTGTCAACTTAATCTCCTATTTCTGCATGTTTCTTCTGCTGGCAAGACTTCCTTCAGACCAAATGTTTTAGCTCTCTCCTAATTATTCCTTTCATGTTAAACACTAATCCATCTGCTAAAGGCCTCTCTGGCGGAGAGGAGCGTCGCCACTGTTAGGCAGAGAAAAGTGATGAGGCTTTGCTTTAAGGTTGTATGTGCACTGCCTATTAGCATGTGTAGAGAGTACTGAGCACTGATGTATTAATTTTATCTCTGGGGTAATGCACTGCCTTTACAAAAGCTGAATTTTCACACCAATATTTTCTCAATATCCTAAAACTTAATGCTGAAATGCCTGTAACCTTTCTGCATTTAAATCACAAAAAGCTTGGTCCTTGCCACTTCAAAGCTTTTTGGTTTGTCTAAATGCAGATTGCTTAAAATAAATCATGTTTTATCAGCAAATTTTGAATGTGTATTTAATGTGCCACACATAGGAATATTTTAATTTCTTCCTTAAACCTTCCTTCATGCTCTTGAAAAGGCAGTGAAAATCACTTTATTGTCTATACTTGTTCTGTTACAAAGTGTCACATGAGTTTTCAGGTAGCTCTTAACTTTTTTGCTAATGAAAGTGATAATTTCTAAAATGTTGATGTTCTTACCCTTTAAACAATCAGCTTCTTTCCAGTTTGTCCAACAAATATAGAAAGCAATACCTGCTTAACTTTTATATGACACTTTTGATGCACTAAGTATAATTATGCATGGAAGGCGCTTCAGCACCAGTTTACTAACCAAAATCTAGAATTGTGAATATCGAAAATCTTGCCTCCCACTTTGATTTTTTAATGCCTTTTTCCCTCCTTAACAGGTGGTGAGGTAGTAAAAATAGCCCAGCTGGCTTCTATAGCAGGAGCACAAGGCAGGATTGCTCAGCCAGAGACCCCAGTGACTCTGCAGTTCCAAGGGAACAAGTTCACCTTGTCACACAGTCAGCTCCGGCAGCTCACTGCAGGGCAGCCCCTGCAGCTACAAGGTACTTATTTCAAAAAAGGCAATTTTCCATTATTCAGAATGCTCATGTTTTGATATGGGTACCTCGTTCCTTGTTGCTGGAGATTTTTCCATCCCCAGTGCTTGTATTGTCCTGCTCTTCCTATTTTCTGTGAGCCAAGGTAGCTCTGGTTTGAAAAATAAATGCCTATCACATGAAAGACATGGTTAGTTTATTTTTCTGTATTGTATTTGAAAAATATTATTATTTCCTTTTTTTCCACACCCATGCAGTGCAGCTAAAGTAAGGTGAGGCATTATTTGATATAAACTCTCTGCTGAGCAGAAACAGAAAAAATGAGAATATGCTTGGTTTATTCTAAGATTGTGTAAATAATACTTCAAGTTTGGGATGCTTCTGAATTTTGGCCCAATTATTGCCCTTGTCTGAATGCTCTACCTACACTATATTTTGTTCTGAAATCTCCCTTGCTGGTGGTGTGTATTGCCAGATTTAGGAGAACTGTCATATCTTGATTATCTATGGCCAACAAAATAAATAGAGCGAATGTCGAGTGAAGATTTTTTTGTTTGATTGGATTTTATCCAAATTCTGTATAAATGCCTAGATTAGAATGATGCCCCTATGACATGAAACTCCTCTTCAGCTATGAATACTTGGGTGTTTCCCTCCTTTTTGTCAGATTGGTGTAATGAACGTGTCTGGTAAAATTAAACATAATTTGAAGCAGTAATGATCAGCTTGTAACACTAAAAGGTTTTGCTAGAGAACATGAATTATTTTCCACCCTAATGTGTGTTAAAATCCTCCACTGCAGGAAGTGTCCTTCAGATTGTGTCAGCCCCTGGGCAGCAGTACCTGAGGCCTCAGGGCCCCGTGGTCATGCAGACAGTTTCCCAAGCAGGAACTGTGCAGAACGCCCTGAACGCTTTAGGGAACCAGCACCAGGCAGGCGGCCCAGCTTCCACTGCAGTCACTCAGCAAGGTGGGTTTGCCAGCCTGAAGAAATGTCTCTGTCTAAATATTCAATTGCTAAAATCACATTTGTATGTAACTCCAAATTGTTGCAGATCGTAATTTTGTAAGTTGAGCTCAGAAGTGGGTAAACTATGAGGCAAATCTCTGCAGTTTGTATTTGGTGTGTGCTGGAGTTTTAAGAAAATTTTTAGTACAAACTTAGGAAAGCATGTAACTTAATTACAGATTTTTTAAACCCATTTTGCCTTTGGTCAATTTTTTTTTTGGGAAGTAAATTTGAAATACTTTGTTAATTTTTGCAAGGAAAAATCAAGGGTGATAATTTTTTATACTGGCAGAGAATGTCCAGTGATTGTCTCAATTTTTCCACATTGATTTTACTTTTGTCTAATTTCTTTTACTTCTCTAGCTGTTCAAGCTACAGTTTTCCATTTCCCTCTGCAAATGTTGCTTAGGTATTTGGTGCCTTGCTGTAAATATCATCAGTTCCTTGCTTAAAAACACAAACAAGATGTTGATCAAAATAGTGGAGAAATTAATGCATTTACAACAAAACAGCAGATTCTTAAATGGAGATAAATATAACACTAGGAGTTCATTCCCTGAAAATGGCCATCTGCTGTATTTTTATTGGGATATAAAAAGCCATTCCTTCAAAATGGTGTGATGCTCTTGCAGTGTAGTTAACTCTCTGGGTAAACATTTGCTAATAGTTGAAATCACAAAAATGCTACTGAGATTCCATCATATGATTTCACCAATTTGTAGATACACTCAGTTGATGTGTTTTCTGAAAAATCTTAGATTATTTGCTCAAGATAAGTTAAAACAATCTTTTTTCTGAATTAGAATATTTTCTGTTTTCTATTGTGTTCATATTAACATTTTCTGAATGTCAATGTGTATTGCACTATACTTGACATTTTGAATAAAGTACAAATGGAGCACAGCACATTGCTTTGTACAAAGCAAAGTAAAATTCCATTGATCTGTCTTGGATTTTTGTGAGAACAGTTAATGTGGATATCTGTCAGTGATTTGATGTATAACAAATTACAAATTTGCAATACTCAGTGGACATTTAGACTAAAAATTTGTCTGCAGCATTGGTGTGTTACAGCTATGAAATGTCTACTTATTGCAAATTATAAAGAGACCAATTTTCAGATGAAAAAATATATAAACACAAGGTTTATCCTCAGTTTGTATTCCAGGTAGAGCTACAGTTGCTAACTTGCCATCTGGTGACATGGGAGCAGTGTTAAAACCAGCACCTTTGCATGGACAGTCACAGGTACTCAATTTTTATTTTCTTGTGGAAACAGTACTTTTCAGAATCAGTAGTAAGTCTGTGTAATAGTTTAAAGCTATAATTTGCAAAGCTGGAATTAATTAGGGACTTTGATCATTATAGAGTAGGTAAATATCCCAACTTCTGTTCATGTTTCAGATTGACAGATCTGATGCATTTGTAATCCATAGATAAAATAATCTGGTGTATAAAGGCAGCTGACAGCTTTCTTGTGCTGTGATAGTCAGGTTCTTGTAACTGTAATATATTTTCATTATATAGTAATGCATAAATAAAGAAATCATTTGGATTTTTTTTGTTTTGAACACAATGGCAATTGGGCAGATTTTTATAGATTCCTAATCTTAACAAGTTTTTGGATAAGATAAACAACTTAAAGAGTGTAGGGAAACATCAAGAATATATCAAAAAGCTATGAAAAGTATCTTTAAAAAGCAAGAAGATACTAAACTAAAGTAGAATTGACTCTTTAATATGAACTGAATTCAGCTGTAGCCTTCAGATTTTATTTGAAGAAATATATACCTTTAATAATTGGTCTAAGTAATTGGTCTATACTGTGATCCTGATAGTTTCATTCTAAAGAGCCTCAAATCCCTCCTTTATTATTACCGTGATGAGCAGCAAATGTGGTTTTCATTCACCTTCTCTTGGCAAAGGAGACGTTTGAGGAGAAGAACCGGCTCTTGAAGGAGCGCCTGGACCGGATCTTCTGCGGCAACGAGCGCCGCTGCTCGCGGGCGCCGGTGTACGGCCGCGACGTGCTGAGCCTTTGCTCCCTGGCTGGGGACACAAGGGCCTCCCAGCTGCCTTCCAGCGAGGGCAACAGCTGGAGGTGGGCTGGCTTTGTCAACTGCTGCCTTTCCACAAGTGCCTGCGGAGGCCCGAGTAACCCCTTGAGGGAAATGATCCTGGGCTTGGTTCAGCAGCAGGAATCTCTAAAGGATCTTGTTGACAGGTAATGTGTGACTCTGCCTAGCAAGCCTTTATGCGTCTAGTTGTTTCTAAAACACTTCTCAACAAGGCTTAAAACCTTGTTTCTGTTGATGAGCTTATTTGGTTTAGACTGGTTTATTTAGCAGTAAATGGTGTACAGCATGGAAGTAAAAATAAGTTACTTCCTTTTTCCTTTGGATCTTTATAAATAAGTGTTTTCAGTGCCTCTTTCCTAATTTCAAGCCCAAGTTCAGCTGACCATACTTAGCCTTACAGTCTTATGCTTTTGGATTTACTTAAATAGGTACCACTCGGACTAACTAACCTAGTTAATCACCCAGAAGTGTCACTAACTAGCAAGACTTAAGACCCAGAGTTAAAGTTAAGAGATGCAGGCAGAAGCTGGTTTAACTAAGACTGACTTTCCTTGCTGTGTCTATGATTATTGATGGTCATTTTGTGTGTAGCTTTTTAAATCGGTGTTGCCTTGTTTTGATGCTTTTCACAGGGCTCTCTTCGTGTTGCCAGCTGCAGTTGCTGCTCCCCCATGTTTCTATGTAGCAAATCCTCCCCCTTCATACAGTCACAGACTGAAACTCCTTAAGCACAGCCTGAGGCAGAAGGCAGCTCCACACTTGCATCAGTTGCAACAGCTGACAACTCCTCACTTGCTGCAGTTCCCTGACCTCCGGCTGGTGCAGTATGACTCAGGTAAAGGACATTTGCTGACAAGATTTCAGCGATTTCCTCTATGACATGTATGGAATTTCTATATAAAACCATTATTGGTTTTTCTGTTTGAATTATAGGAAAATTAGAAGCTCTTGCAGTCTTGCTTCAGAAGTTGAAATCTGAAGGGCGCCGTGTGCTGATTTTGTCACAGATGATTCTGATGCTGGACATACTGGAGTTGTTCCTGAATTTCCATTTCCTCACCTTTGTGAGGATTGATGAATATGCCAACCAGGAACAGCGGCAGGTAAGTGTGCCCTACCAGCTACCCACTGGTACACAATATGTGCTGCCCAGGCTTTTATACACTAAAGTGGAGAAAGGAAATTTGCCTCGTTTTGCATTCAGTTTGAAACACCTGACATGTTTTTATCCATTTTTTTATTAGGCTTATAGTGAATTTGGTTTGGTATTTTATTTTGGTGTGCATTTTATTTAGTACTTGCTTTTATTCTGTTTATGTAGGAGCTGATGAAAATTTTCAACAGAGACAAGCGCATTTTCTGTGCCATCCTCTCCTCTCACAGCCGTTCCACAGGAGTCAATCTTGTCGAGGCAGACACTGTTGTGTTCTATGACAATGATCTGAACCCAGTGATGGATGCAAAAGCTCAGGAATGGTGTGACAGAATTGGGAGATGTAAAGATATCCATATATACAGGTGATGGTGACAGTCAACATTTGCTCTTTAACATGTTTTGATGGGAGGTTAGTTCAGACAATGCTGCCCTGGATGATCTGGAATAAAGTGGAAACAGTGCTGAAAACCACTTACCTTCAATAAAAAAGATGCCAGGGCATCCTATGAAAAAGTGCGGGGTTTAACACTAAATGTAGTAAAGGAATCATACCTGCATGGGTATTGTCTGTTAGTCTGCGTGGATTTTTTTTGGGGGTTCCTTTTCATTGTTGATTTCAGTTTTTTTTTTTTTTTTTTTTTTTAATGACATAGATTATTAGAAGACAGCCCTAAAGTAAAGGTGGTAGTGTGTTTTTTTCTGGGCCTGCACCATAGCTAAAAAAACTCCCACATATTACCACAATTTAAACATTGGTATTCTCTAAGGACAGTTTGTTTTTTTGTTTCCAAAAGCTGGTTTGGAAATGACTTACCAAATTTCTATGTTTTTTTCCTTTGTTTTTTTTTAGGCTTGTCAGTGGTAATTCTGTAGAAGAGAAACTTTTGAAAAATGGCACAAAGGACTTGATCAGAGAAGTAGCTGCTCAGGGAAATGACTATTCAATGGCCTTTTTAACACAGGTAAGTTAATATTCAGAATGCATTGAAACACCCATGTTGCAGTGTTTAATAAATTCAAGCATCTGTGGTGGAGTGTTTAATAGCAGTTTAGTAGAAATCTGTCTGGGCTAGAATTAATAAGGAAGCATATTGGATTTCATGATTGCTTGAACTCTCAGTGTTGGGGCCACATTCTTTCAAATATTGTCCATCTGTTTTGTTCTGTTATTTGCATAGTGATGCACAGACATCACCCGTGACTTAATATGTTGTTGTTTCTTCACCCTGCTGCAAAATTTTGCAGAGCTTGTAAGAGTGAAGGTCTCAACAGCTTTAAAAATGTGAAATAAGTTTGGATATTTAGATAGGCTCTGAATTGCTGCTCTGAAGATACATGAGACAGTGCCTGCACTGGTGAAGCCAGGCTATCCTGGCTGGCACTCCTAATATAGAAAAGAAAAATAGTATGCTCCCAAAAACTGAATGTTTTTCTCTTCTTTCTTTCTATTTACCAAGCAAACAATTCAAGAATTGTTTGAGGTTCATTCTCCTATGGAGGATTCTGGATTTAGAGTGAAAGCAGAAGAATTTGTAGTACTTTCTCAAGAGCCATCTCCAGCAGAAAATATTTCGCCTAAAGTTGCAAGACCATTCATAGAGGTAATGATTAACACACACATTAAAAATGCTGCTGTGCAACATTAGTATTAAACAGCTGACTAATCTCATTTTATTTGGGTAAATTCTGTCAGTCTCTTTTTCTTGTAGTTTTATGCTCTTTTGGCATTTGTTTTGTGACAAAACTTCCAAAAGCCCAAAGCTAAGTTTTATAATTTCTGGGACTGTTTCTCTTGCTGCAGCAGAGAAAATTGTGTTGCATTTCAGTGAACTCCTTATGGAGTTCCTTTCTATATTTTTGAAGTCTTAATTATTTTTAAAATATATCTCTCTGAAAGGCCCTCAACAGCATTGAACGTGAGGATGAGGAATCAAATGATCACATACAAGACATAGGATCTGAGTCAAGCATTGAACCTTTAATCTCAGAGCTCTGTGATTCAAAATACAATGAAGAGCCCTCACAGCTGCAGGAGTTAGTTGCTGTTGTGGATCAGGTACCGTGACTTCCCTTGAATAGCTGGCTGAAAAGTAATGTTTAGTTCAAATATTTCAATTTCTTTGCAGTCTGACCTTAAAGCAACTTTGTTGTTTCTCCCATTAAATGGAAGGGAGATCTCCCGCTGATTTGAAATGTTAAGAAGAGTTTGAAGGAGGGCTTTGATACTTCATGTAATGTTTCTTTTATCCTCAAAGTAACATTTTTTCTCTTTGACACTTCCCTCAGCTGACTCCAATTGAGAAGTATGCTTTGAATTATCTGGAGCTCTTCCACGGTTCAGTTGATGACAATGAGCCACGGTTGAGTGAGGTAAAACAAATCTTTCTTTACCATGTTATTCTGTCACAGAACAACATTTATTATATTTTCAATATGAAATGGAAGTTTCTCCAATGATGTGGAATATATTGTTGGCACTTCTGTGATCTTTTCTTGCTATACATTATGAACAGTATAATTTCTTACAGAGAGCTCATTATTTTGGGATTCTGTGGTTTCAGCAGGTGTCAATTCTTAATTTCTTTTTTATAAAATGGGAATTGCTTTCAGCCCGGCTCAGCAAATATTTGTTGTACTCCACTGATAGCAGGGGAAAAAATTTCATTAATTTTAGTGAGCCTGTGTTCTGGTTGTCTTCATTGTTTAACTGAAGTTCTTTGATTGCTTTATACTGATGGTTTTAAAACCTTCCACAAAGACTAATAAATATCTTCTAAATTGTTGTGAAAGTATCTGTTAAGAAATTGCTATGAGATTCCTGTGTCTGAAAATGTCAAAGTTCACGGCATTTATCCATAAAATTACTAATTGATGACTTCTAATCCAGTGTCTGTTACTGTGTAAGGTTTCTAACCAGTCTGACTTTAATCTAGATGGAACTGAAAACTGCAAAGAAAGCCTGGGAAGTCCAGCATATGAAGGAGTTAAAGGAAAGAGAGCAAAAAATGCTTTGGGAGGATGAAGAGGAACTTCTAACCTACACTCGGGAGGATGCGTACAACAAAGTAATTGCTGATCAGTCTTGTTTTTTCTATATAGTTATTTCTTAACAGTTAGTCTGAGAATACCTTTACCCTTCAGGTTTTAGTTGGATCATTTGAATTATGTTCTCTTTTTGCTGTGTAGGAATATGTCTATGAAGGTCCAGATGGACAAACTGAAATTATGCCAGTAAGTAAAAGTAACATCAGGCAGCCTAAACAGGCTTTTTATTTTATGAAACATAAAGATCAGTGGAGAGATAACATTGCAGTAATTACAGACTTTATTCTGTGCAGCTCTGGACTCCTCCTACTCCACCTCAGGATGACAATGATATCTACATAGACTCTGTTATGTGCCTGATGTATGATACCACCCCTATTCCAGAGTCAAAATTACCTCCAGTGTACGTCAGGAAGGAGCGTAAACGACACAAAACAGATCCCTCTGGTGAGTGTGTGCTCAAAACTGTTCTGGGATTTATTTTTAAAAAATCAGCAGGATTTTCATACCTCCTATATATTCAGAATGCATTGAAACACCCATGTTGCAGTGTTTAATAAATTCAAGCATCTGTGTTGGAGTCTGGTCCAGTAAAGATGAAATTTGCATGTTTGAAGGGATGAAAATTCTTGTCCCACCATGACCTTGAAGCAGTGGAATCACTGGAAGGCCCAGTTCCTATGGTGTGTCTTCTCTTTAGCCATAGAGGTGTTCCTGAAAGGACAGTTTTAGAGAGCAGACATTTTACTTTGTCAACTAGAACAGGGCTGCTCATACTTTTATCACAGGCTCTGTTTAGTTCCTGCTGTGCTTTTCAGAGGCAGTGGGGAATACTCTGTACAAGTATAAGCATTTTGCAGCTGTAGGCAGACAAATCAAAGAATGACAGTATCTACCAACAGCGCTTTATGTTTTGTCTTAGCAGCAGGTAGAAAGAAGAAGCAACGTCATGGGGAGACAGTTATCCCACCTCGTTCACTCTTCGATCGAGCAACTCCAGGAATGTTGAAAATGCGCCGGGAGGGCAAAGAGCAAAAGAAGAACATCTTGTTGAAACAACAGACACAGTTTGCAAAGCCTTTGCCAACTCTTGTCAAACCAGCTACTGAGGCTGGACAGGATAATCCAGAGTGGTTGATCAGCGAAGACTGGGCACTTCTGCAGGTCAGATGATACTGCAGCTTCTGCTGTCATTACGTTTTTATTCTTGCACTTTATCTCTTCAAGGTTATTTCTAATTCTTAGTGGCAATTTGCTGTCAGAGCTTGGAACAGCTTTCCTGTCATTTGTGCTCCTCTAAGGAGAAATTAAAGGCTAAGGTACAAAATGTATGATTAAGCCCTATTGTTGTTTTAGAAACGACTTACTATTATTCAGATTAGTTGTGCTGGCTGGACGCTGGATAGTGCAGCTAAGGTTCTTCCCACCTTTGTGGGGAGAGCAGCATTTGAATAGCAGCTCTCTGTCCCTCTCATACCAATCTCCAATTTTTCCCTGTGCATCAGTCAGCATTAAGGCACCCCATGCCTGTTTATTCTCTGTGACTGTAGCTGAGCACAGAGCCTTAGCCCTGAGCTGTCCCTGAGCTGTGGTAATGTGTGTGGGCACATGCAGGTGAGGGAGGGTTTGGAAGATGGCAACGATGTCTCCTGATGCCTTTGTACCTTTCTGTGTTGCAGGCAGTGAAGCAGCTGCTGGAGCTTCCTCTAAACCTTGCTGTTGTGTCGCCAGCACACACTCCCAACTGGGACCTGGTCAGTGATGTTGTTAACTCCTGCAGCAGAGTCTATCGCTCGCCCAAGCAGTGCCGCAACCGATACGAGAATGTCATAATCCCAAGGGAGGAAGGAAAGGTGAGCTCACCTGGAATGATGCGTCTTGTTTTTACCTTCAGTTGTAGAGTTTTTTTTCCTTAACTCCATAAACACTTGTTTTTTGTTAAACGTTTCAACAGTGTAAATAAATAACTTTTAAAAGATCTTTTTAAATTATTCTCATCAGGATTTCCACTTATTTTATGTGATTTCTTTGAAAAGAAAAAGCACCTGAACAAAATCTTCCACAAAAGATCATCTAACTTTCCTTCTTATTTTACAGCTAATGTACGAAGCTAATCCTAAAAAGAAGACAAAAAGTATTTATAAGGTGTGCATTGGTATTCTTTCAAAATCAAATCTAGACACTGTGGTATTTAGCAGCAATGGAGGTGGGCAGATAATTCATATGAGATCCATGTTGAGTGTTACTTGAGTTCTGAAACATCAATTAAAATTCCAAATTTATTTTTTCTTTCTTTGTTGATACAGTGGATTGACACCAGACTTCAGCTTTTGGATTTGATAGATAAATTTTAGACCATGCAAGAAGTTTGTGATTTCACTTAAACTGTAGTTGGTATTTTTCCACCATGTATCTTATCCTGATGGTATTTAACATCTGTAAGAATGAACTTCATGCTAGAGTCTAAGTGGATTACAAATACATAGTGAATTTGGTGCCTGAAACACGTTTTAGTAAATGAGGATGATAGGACGCAACAGAAACAAAAACAAATTCCATGACTGTGAACACCTTCTTCCAAACCACACAGCAATTTAGTGACAGAGTTGGGTGGAGAATCCAGAACTTCTGGCTGTAGTTCCAGTCTCTGACTGCTAAGGAGGTTTGTCCCTGACTGGCAGTTTCTGCTTAGGAGAAGCCAAATGTTAGACTGGCATGGTGTGTGGATGTTAACCTAGCTTGTTGGGAGAGCAGTGCAGTGATGGTTTTGTTTTATTATCTTACATGTGCGCTCTGCATAACTATAAACTAATGGGCTCTTGGTTTGGGTAATGAATTAAACTTGCAAAATCTAAACTAAAGCAAAGATTCTTTCTCAAATTAGAGTTTGCCATTTTGTATGTCCCCAAGTGCTGATGCCAGTGTGACCGTGAGAACTGCTCCTTATTTTGCTCTTTCTTTATATATTTCCCATAGAGTTTTGTGTGACAGTAAGTTATCAGTGACACGAGGCAGGAACCAGTCTGTGATAGATATGTTGGAGAGTGTTTTTAAATAATCTACGAGCGCGCCTTGTGTTTAAACATAGACAAAATGCCCTGTTGGATGAGTTTGCAATTGAAAGTTGGTTTGTTTTCTTTTTTTAGACTAAAAACAGTCGCCCACTTCGTACCAATCAGATCTATGCTCAAGATGAGGGTGCAACCCACACACAGCTTTATACTAATCATTTTGAGATGATGAAAATGATTGCAGGGAAAAGAAGTCCACCTATCAAACCTCTGTAAGTCTACCTGGGATCATTTGATTTCCTGTAACCACAGATCTCCTGGTAACTGTGTTTTGAATGGCTCTCAAAACCCAGAGTTATTCTGTACTCTGTTTCTCTGTTCTTGATCTGTGTGTTCTCTGTTATTGGAAACACCTCCATATTTCATGTGTTTGGGTCTCACTTCAGGAATTTGCTCTTCGTCATTAAGAGCAGAGCTGCATTCAGCAGGGTTTTTTACACCTACTTTATATCTATCCATTTGCCTGAATTGTAGACAATTTGCTGTCTATGCTGTGTAGTAGTACATTCTTTCCTATGTATCTTCCTGCAGATTTTCTTTATTTATTTAGTATTTACTCTGAGTCTTTCTTAAATGTCTGTCTGTATGCAGGCTCCAGTACTGGCTGGAATATCTTGGAAACTTCACCAAATGCTAAAATATGTGAAGTGAAATATTGTTTTTAAGGTTTTTCTGTCTCCAGTAATACAGTTTTTTTTTCAATTTCAGACTTGGCATGAATCCTTTCCAGAAGAATCCAAAGCATGCATCAGTGCTTGCAGAAAGGTGAGCACTCCGTGTCTTGAAGAAGTTATAAATTGTATGAAAGTGCTCTTTTTTATTTTCTTTTTTTTTTTTTTTAGGTCTCAGTTATTTCTAAATATTGTGTGTTTTGTCTCATTATTGTTTATAGTGGAATCAACTATGATAAGCCCCTCCCTCCGATTCAAGTCGCGTCCCTCCGAGCAGAACGCATTGCCAAAGAGAAAAAGGTATGGTCCCATCTCTGCTGCACAAATGACTGCAGTAATTAAAAAATCAGGCAACAGATGAGGTACGAGCAAAGCTGCCTCCTGGGAGAAGTTTGGAAGTACAGTGGATGTTATGAGCAGCTGCACATTGTTCATGTATAGGGGTTTAGATAACCAAGGCCCAAAGGGGGCCTCTTGTCACTCTCAGACCCCTTAAGCAATGAGGAGCATATTTTTGCAAAAGATGCTAAAACGTTTAAAAATGTTGTTTAATTCTTGACCATTCTTTCTACCCTCTAGCATTTCCACCCTCCTTTCTTATATTATTCAGAAAGAACTACTTGTCCTTGCTTGTGGATGATAAGTTGCTTGTTGTGCTATGCTCTAAGCCATAAAACCATGAGTACGTATTGTAGTTTAAAAATTTAACTACAAGTACATCTTGTATTTAGAAGAGTCAGGTTGTATAACTTGGACTTGAAAAGTGAGGGCAGCTTTGTGAGCTGTCTCTGATTAGAACTAAAGAGGTTTTGTGGATAGAAATAAAGAGGTTTTATCTTGTTGTTTTGTTTTGTTTTAAAAAAACAACACATCTTGCTTGTTCATGTTTGAAGACTGAAGGTGCCCCTTGCCTTGCAGGCGCTGGCGGAGCAGCAGAGGGCCCAGCAGCAGGGGGGCCCCCAGCCCCAGCAGCCCCAGGCGGGCCAGCAGCCCCCCCAGCAGCCCCCCGTGCAGCAGGCCCAGGCCCAGCCACAGGCACAGGCACAAGCACAGGTAGTTCAGCAGCCACAGGCAGTGGTGCAGACTGCAGTCACTACTGTGGCCAACACAGCAGTATTGGTAAGAAAGGGAGAGCTCGGTGCCTCTGATGTAGTAACTTCAGTTCTTCTGTGTGTCCTGTATTTGTGTCGTGTTTTCTCTGGAAAGAGAATTTTAGGTCAGTATAGTGAGATCAAAGGTATTTTTTCTTGTTTGCTTTCCCTGGTTATGCTGGGTATCTTCTGGTACCCTGATTTATTAAGATTATTTGTACCATTGTAGCAACAGATCTTGGCATTCTGAGGTGGAAAAACACCATACAAAGATGGTTTTTCCTTTTTCACTTTAGACTTTCATTTAATGAAGTCTGAGTGAATAAAAGTACATGGTCAACAAGAAGTATTTGTAGAGAACTTGCAGAATACAGAGAATAAAAGAGAACGTAGCTGTAAAAATGACTCAGTTAAAGAGCTTGAAAGCCAAAGATTCATTTACCTTTGCAAGGCAAGTGAAATGATGCATCCTACAGGAAACACCATGGTGCTTGTACTGCAAATTTGTGCAAAGTTTTAGTGTGTTCCCTAAATCTAAAGTCTGAATGAGTCTGATGACTGGTCTGTGGCTTTTGTATTTAGAGCCAATCCAGTTTGCATAGTAATGTGTGCAGCTAGTGGTGGATTTATTTTGCTTGCTACACAACAGGAGTACCACAGCTTTTGCTGAAAGACACAGAGGATGTGTTCTGACCCACAAGCATTGCTGTGTGTGAAGTGCTCAGTTACGTTGCTGTGTGAATGGTTGTCCAAGGTACTGCTCCCTTCCTCTGCTAACTGGGATGTCCAGTGACCAGGGTTTACCACACACTTGGCTGGTCTGCAGTTGCTCATTAGTGAGGCAGAATCCTGATTTATGTGTGCATTAATTGCTGTGATCTGTAGAGCTCAATGAACAACTGCAGAAATCTGTGTTCCATTGAATTTTTGTTATTTTGTCACTTCTGGAATACAACACTGTGTTAAGCAATGCTCAGTTTTCTTTTATTGTTTTTCTGAACTGTTACCTTAATTGTCTTCTAAATTAGGCAGGCACCATCAAGACAGCAGTGACGGGGACGAGCATCCAGACTGGTAAGGAGACTCTGTAATTGGGCATAGGAGGTGTTGGGACATTGGGATTTTCACTTTCAGAATCTCACATTAATCCTGGCTTGCTTTCAGCTACAGTGAGTGGAAATGTGATTGTGAACACTGTTGCTGGGGTCCCTGCTGCCACCTTCCAGCCCATCAATAAACGTCTGGCCTCCCCTGTTATACCTGGGACTCTGACTGTGAGTAGATCCTGTCATTAGTTCTGTCCCTGGACACTGGGTTGCATGTTTATTAGCATAGCTTTAGCTTTTCATGTTGTCAGAAATTCTGTTTCTTGCAAATGTCATGTGCATCTTGGGGTTCTTTATCAAGCCTCTCTCTCTTACCAAAACATCAGAACACACTGGAATGGTTTATCCGAAAAAAATGCTTAATACTGTTAAAAATAGTTTATGGGGAAGTGCTGCTATGTCATTAACATTTTCAGCCTGTAACTGTTTTGTGCTTTATTAATTATAATATTCATTATTATGTTAATGGTTTAAGACTATGGAAGATAAAGCAAAATATTGAAAGGTACTAAAATCAAATGTCTGTAATGGAGTGAAGGATTTGATGATCAGCTTGATGGAAAAAGATTTAATCACATGCTGATTAGTGTTAGACAGACTTGGGGCTTTTGTCCTTTTGCATTTTTCATGCTTGTTTTTAAAATTGCCTAGAAGGGAATTTATAAAGTTCCAGCAGGGACATGCGAGGCGTGGGAAGGGAGCAGTCACGCTGTGTTCCCTTGCAGACCTCGGGAGGCACGGCCACTGCCCAGGTGGTTCACAGCCAGCCGCGAGCGGCCGCGGCGCCGGCGGCGTCCACCGAGCTGGTGACCATCGCCTCCACGCAGGGCGTGCGCGCCGTGACCTCGGTGACGGCTTCCGCCGTGGTCACCACCAACCTCACGCCTGTGCAGACCCAGACAAGGTCCTTGGTGACCCAGGTCACACCAGGTAATGATCCTGCGTTCAGGGACTTTTTCCAGTAGTGCACAAAGGGCCCCAGAATTCCTGTTGATGCACCACCACAGCCCCACGATATTGGAAGTCTAGGATGCAATTAAACAGGGCTGTGATTTTTAACTTGCTTTATTGTTGGTGCTCAGATGACATTTATCTCCAGTATTTCTGGATAAAGTGTGGCAATAGAGAATTTGGCCCCTAGGCATTGCAATTTAAAAATGTTATTAACAATCTAGCAGTAAAATATTAGAATTGACTGTCTTCACTAAAAAACATTGTGAAGAAAGGCCCTTGTATTTTATGATCTACTCTCCTTTTACATCATGCTCATGATAATGTGTTCTTACATGTAGTAAATCCACAAAGTGTGCTGGAGCAGAAAAATAAGCATTTAACAGCTCGACTTCTCAGGTGAAATTCATGAGTTAAACTGAATGTTGAAAAGTATTTGTCATAACATTTTGTTTTTTTCTTTATTCACAGCTACACCAACAGTCCAGCTGTCGGGCAAAACCATCACCCCTGCTCACTTCCAGCTTCTGAGGCAACAGCAGCAGCAGGCTGCTCAGGTGCAGGTCCCACAGATCCAGGCTCAGGCACAAGCTCAGTCTCCAGCTCAAATAAAAACTGTAGGGAAATTGTCACAGGTGAGGAACCACTCGTGAAGTAACGTAGCACATTGCTCTCATTACTGTAAGCTTCCCTAGCAGTGTGTGTTCTGTCCTGTTTTCTTGGGCTACAGTGAGATGTAGTTCCCTCTTCAATTTCATCCTACTAAAATTTCATGCAGGCAGTGAGACTGACAGCACTTTCAATAGTAGAGTAGGGCAGGATGGAAAGCACTTACTGCTGCTCACTGGAAGCCATTGTGTAAAAGAGTTACATTTTAGATACTTGATCTTAGCTCTAGTCTGGCACAGAATGTTTCTCCTTTTAAGCTTTGGATGCATCTCCATTTTTCTCCTGTAATGTAAACCATTGGAGGTGATGGAGATGTTTGATTTTTGCAGGAGCAGCTGATCAAGTTGCAGAAGCAGAAGCTGCAGCTCCCCCAGCAGCAGGCAGCACAGCAGACACAGCAAGGGGCACAGCAGCAAACAGCACAAGTGCAAGTGCAGCAGCAGCAGCAAACCCAGCAGCTCACTGCTGTGACAGCCCCTCGTCCTGGCGCAGTCCTCACGGGCACTACGGTCACCAACCTGCAAGTGGCACGCCTGGTGAGTTGGCTTTGACTTGGCAAAAACTGTCTCAAACATCTCACTGTTGGCTGGTTTAAATGAACTGCTCATTCACACTCACAAGTGCCCTTTGCATTGCTCTGGCAGTTCAGAAGGAACAGCTGTAACATAGTTCTGTATTGTACTTACCCATTGATACCATCTCTGAATTGTGTCTCTGTACAGGAGCCATTACATTTAGAAACATTTACAGCTATCACTTTATAATCACCTGTTATATGCAGCAAATCTTTCTGTGCTGGTACAATAATCTTCATTCCTTACTGCTTAGACTCGTGTTCCTGCTTCCCAGCTCCAAGCACAAGGACAGATCCAGGCCCAGACTCCACAAGCAGCTCAGGTTGCTCTGGCAAAGCCTCCAGTGGTGTCTGTTCCAGCTGCTGTTGTGTCATCTGCAGGAGTCACCACACTCCCTGTGACTGTGGCAGGCATTAGTGTTGCCATTGGGCAGCCACAGAAAGCAGCAGGTATGTGAATGCAAGTTGGAAATAGGAAGAATTGTATTTCATAGCAGTCTCCTATAGCATAGACAATTTTTTTCTTGTAGGAAGATTGTTGTTGGAACAAAAAATTAGCTTACTTATGCCCTTAGATAAGAAATTTTCTCTACTGTCAAAATCATGTCTTATTCCCATTAAAATCAGTGGGTTGTTAGTGCTCAAAGCTGTGCACATGTGTAAGTCTGTAAAAGTAGAATCTGTGTGTGCAAGCTGTGTTTACTGGGACAAAGCAATAAACTGAAGACTCTTACAGTTCTAATTACTTCTGTAATTTTCAGGAGGCCAGACAGTAGTTGCACAGCCACTGCATGTCCAGCAGCTGCTGAAACTCAAGCACCACCAAGCAGCACAGCAGCAGAAAGCCATCCAGCCCCAGGTTGCACAGGGACAGGCTACTGTGCAGCAAAAGGTACCATTGTCTGCTCTCCCATTAACTTGTGCCATGGCTCTGTGGTTGTAAAGCTTTGGTTCTGGATGACCAGGGCACCCCTACAGAGTCAGTCAGGATTTCTAGGGGTGAATCTTAGGTCTATCTAGAGAGAACAGGTTCTCAGGTGCTTCATTTTTTCTGTGAAGTTGTTGATAGTTTGGTAGTTTTTAGTAAGTCTGTTGTTATGTGAGTGTTGTGTGTAAGACAGAAACTTTTCATTAAATACTTTAATTTTGAATATTTGTGTAAATGCATGAAGACTTTTATCTAGTGCTCATTTTTTTATTGCTAATCCTGGGAGAATTTTTTTCAATAATTAAATGTAATTAATCTTTTTTTCCCCAACATACCTATTTTTTAAAATACACTTACCTTTTGTGTCATTGTTGCCTTTTTTTCTCTTGTGCAGATAAATGCTCAACAGGTTACGGTCCAGGCCCAACAGCAGACTTCACAGCAGCAAAAAGTAACTTATGCTACACAGCCTGCCATTAAAACACAGTTCTTAACAACTCCAATTTCCCAAACCCAGAAACCAGGTGGAACCCAGCAAGTGCAGGCCCAGATTCAGGTACAGGTAACACAGGTTTACACCCTTAAACTGTACTGGGACTGGAGAATTATAAAGACAACAGGTGAGGTAGAATTCAGCACCCACTCATTTTAATTCTAGTCACACATTCATTTAAATTTACTTTTTGATAAAATTCACTGGTGCTGCATATGTGGCCTTACAGCAAGTCAGAGCAACTGTGAGCTGCAAGTTTGCCTTTCCTCTTTGAAATAAAATAATTGAGTCACTCCTTTTTATTAGGCAGGGGATTCCATACTGTGTTTACTAAGGAAAATTCAGCCAGAGTTTTTCCTGATTCTGGTGCTGCCTCACAGCCTAATCTCTGGCAGCCTAGAGTAGGTGACAACTCACGTACTTTCTTTTCTGCATAACTGGATCAGCCTAACCAAGGAAAAAGAAGGGTGTTAGGAATTGGAAGCCTTGCTCTTTCAAAAGTATATCCCAGATAATGTAATCTGTTGGAACTCATGTGCTTCCTTCAGTTTTCTAGCTAGTTAGGAGAAAATTACTTTGTTGTAGTTAAAATTGAAAATATTTCTCTTCCTCCCTTAGCTAAGTTGTTTTCATGGACCTAAAATGTTTCATAAACATTCAACCTCACTGAAAATGCCAAGCTGCAACTTACCATTAACAGGCCTTGTTGTTTTGCAGCTATCAGCAGCTTTTTATTTTGATCCAATCTTTCTTTATTTCATATCACTACAGGTTGCAAAACTCCCACAAGTGGTCCAGCAACAGGCTACTGTTGCCAACATTCAGCAGATGGTTTCAGTTTCCCAACAGGTAGGTTTTGCTCTTGTCAAATGTAGCACTGCAAACATGATCTTCAGAAAAGCTCATTTTTTTGCAATGTGTTTATTTTTCATGTTATGTGTGGCATAGGTAGTATTTTTGAAGGATATAGCAAGTCCCTTTCTATAAAAATAGGTCTTGAATACTGAATCAGCTGAGGTATATTCTCTGGTCTAAAACTTTCATAGATGTAGCAATGTTTGTTCATCACTGTAGATAAGCTGAAAAACAGATTTTTCAAGGTGTTTTCTAGAGCTGAAAGGATGTATAAAATTTGGTTTCTGGTGATGTATAGTCAATATAGCAAATAATTGAACTAATGAGCACCATCTGAGCTTTTCCCACAAAAATTAGGACAAATTGAAGGTTACAAGTTGTTTTGTTTCAGTTCATTGAGCTGTGCCAAGTGCTCTGTGAAAGGCTGAACAGTGTGGTACCTGTTCCAAATGTTAGCATACAGGGCTCGGGCAGGAGAAGCTCAGGTGGTTTAGTTTCCCTCCCCTAATGACCAGGCAGTTTAATTAGCACTGTTCAGAACAATGTCATCCAGATCATTAGCAACAGGCCTAACGTAGGCAGTTGATTGGCAGGAGTGATTTAGCTTTGGAGGATGGATGAAGTTCTTGCCCTTGTGCACAGAAATCTGGGCCAGTCGGCTCTTAATCTGTCACAGTTCACAGTGCAGAGTTTTACTGCAGAATAAAATCTGTGACTGTTTATCTCAAAATAGTGATAAAGTGGTGTAAGCTGTCTGATAACCACCTTAGATGTGAATGCTTCAAGGGCAAAGTAGACAGCAGGAAGTAGAAACCTCATCAGTCAACACATCAGTTGCCCTCTGTAGGCAGGAAGAGCTGCTAGATCATTTTCAAAATCATCAATGGTGGCATAAAGACAAATAGTTTCCCTCCCATGTATACCAGTGACTTCAGTGGCAGTAGGTTTAGGCCATAAGTATTTTTTAAACTGTGGTCTTTATGTGTATGTGGCATTCTTTTTATCTGCATTTTTAGTGCTTCCTTTTGGAACATTCAAGTGTTAATTTTTCCTCTGGAGAAGTCCTTGTAGCTTTGTTTGGTTTCTGCATCTGACAAAGGCAGCTGAAGCTGCTCAGTTTTCATTACCTTGTCCTCTGAACAAGGAGATGTTGATTTTTTTTTTCCCCCCTTGCTCTGGGTAGAGCTATGAAAATTAAATGTCTGGATGGAGTTCAAACTATTCTGCCATAAATTTGCAATAGAGACTGGCAGCTGTAGTCTGAAAGGGAAATGGCAGAGACTGGTGGGAAGTCTCAGTGGCTGTATTTATTGTCACAATATGGGTGCAGAGGCAGCATTTTAACCTCTTTGGTCTTCTGGCTGTCCCTCTGTTCTTTTCCCTGCTCCTTCACTTCTGCAGTGCAGGAATTTTCCTATATATCTGGTAGGGTTTCTATACCTTTCATCTGCCTTCTGAATGTATCTGAGGGCATGTCCTTGGATTTGCATAGCAGAGACCTGAGTTACAGGCACTTTGGCTCTTACTTCTGATTTATAAGGCTCTAGAAAATGTGACAGAATGGTGTTTCTCAGTGAAACCACAGAGCCTCTGTTCCCAGAATCTTTGTCCAAGTTGTTTGTCAGTTAAGAGAGCTAATACCTAAGGAAGCAGAATTCCTTCTGTAGAGCAGAAATGTAAGGATTGCTGTTTAATGCCAAACCATTTAGTAAATGCCTTTTCTTCCTGATGTGCAGGTACAAGCTCAGCCCCAGACTGTGACCCTTTCTCAGACGACAGCAGGTCAACAGCAGGTTCAGGTGATCCCTGCAACCACTGCTACTGCTCAGGTCGTGCAGCAGAAACTGATCCAGCAGCAGGTGGTGACCACAGCATCTCCCCAGGTTCAGGCTCCAGGTGTACAGAACCCAGCCCAGACACCAGCAACACCTGAGGCCCAGAGTCAGCAAGCAAAAGTACAGATGAGGACACCGACTGTCAGATTAAAGGCACCTACTAAACCAAGTTGAACTATTGCAATAACAGAGAAACACAATCTTTTGTGTTTGCTGAGACAAGTGAGAAGCTACTCCAAACATCCAAATGAAGACAAAACACCTCTCTTTTTTTTTTTTTTTTTTGTAGCAGAAGGTTTCTTGCTGGTGAACATTTAAACATGAAAACTCACGTGTAACTTCAGTGTATTAGCAACTGTTTAGCACTCAAACTCTGTACAAGATGCATTCTGCCTGTGTTCTCTGTGCTCATTTAAACCACATAAAGCAAGCATTACTTAGGTTGAAATTCTGCCCAGCTTCTCAAAAGTGAAATGGTGATCTGCCATAAATGTCAGTAAAATCCATCTGTGTTAGAATACCACACCTGCCTGTGGGCATGTGCAGCTCCTTGCTGCAGTTCAGTGTGTGCTCAGTACCCACAGTGAAGCCACACAAAGAACCAGGTGTAGTTGATACAGCACAGTATTTTCCATCTGTACAAAAGCTCTGTGTTGTTCCTCCCTGTGGTAAACACCCCTGGAAGATCTAGCACAGACTTGAAGTGCTCCCTGCAAAGTTTAGCCAATAAATGTGAAAACCTGTAAGTATATGTAATTAAAAAGGAAAAAAAAAAAGGTTTCATTCTCCATTTTTGTAAGTCTTTTAAAATGTTTGTTAGTAGTTTTTGTGTACAGTTTACTGAATCACCCAACCTGTGTGTTCATTCTCGTATTTCACTTTAAAATAATGGATATTTTAGGCATGAGCTGAGTAAATACTGTGTTGATAGTAAATGTGTAATAAAGTGTAGCCCATTTTTTTTTTGTAAAAGAATTGTTTAGTAGATACAGCTAAACAGATGATCCATAGCTGTTTCTCATGGGACTTCTGTCACAAAAAAATCTCCAGCTGATAAAATCTAATCTCTCAGTTTCATTCTGCTCTTGCAACATGTTTAAATGTTCAGTACTTTTTACACGGCTTTCAGCTTGGGGGGTGGGGGGCTGGGGGAGGGGGAGAATAGTGAAATTAAATCTAAGACTTAATTCTTCAACTGTGTAAAGAGTAAGATCTAACTTTTGTACTATTCTTTTACTAAAGCTAACAATGAATGTATCTTCAGGTGGGTATTTTGGATGTGAATAGAGCGTGGCCTCTTCCTCCAAATCAGTTTGCCTTATTGTTATAGAGAAAAAAAAAAGCAAAAAGCTGCATAGAACTGTGGGGGGTTTCTTTACTTTTCTTGCATACAGAATAACAGACTTTGAAAATAGCACTGAGTGAGGAATCAAAAAACCCATGGTGGCTTGAAGGGATTTATTTCACTTTGGCCATAAAACTGCACAATGTGTAAAATCCAGACAAAATTACAACATTCCTTTTCTGAGATGGTTTTAAAATTATTTTTTCATTTTTTACTCTTTTAGGAAAGGAGCCTATTTAAGGGCAAGGAGAGCATATATTTTGTTTTTACCTCTGTATGTCCACACTTGTTGGTACCTGGCAATCCACATGGCTTAAACAAGAAAGAATTCTCAGCCAGCTCCTCTGTGTTAGTTGGGATAGGTACAGCCAATTCTGTTCAGATCACAAATGCAAACATTGGCTCAGGCAGCGTTCCTGATTTTTTTATTTTATACCCCTTTTGTCCTGCATACTTTTTTTTCAGACCCTCAGGTGTACAAACACAAGGACATTTTTTTAAGCTGTTTTTGCATGCAGTAGTATCCCCCTGACCCTCCTAACCCCTGGCATGTGCCATCCCCTAATCTTCACTGCCAGCCAGGGAGCTGGCACTGCTGACAGCAGAGTAGTTTAAAATGCAAAGCAGATGCAGTGGTAATGGATAGTGACACTGTGTACAGTATAGCCTTTCTCATCCAAAAACATTGCTTAGGTAGCCCCAGTTTTACTTTTAAGTGTTTAGCTTTGATGATGTGCATGAAGGTCGGGGTGGGGGGGAACACTTCCAGCAGTGGGAGAGCTGCTGGCTACGTCGTTGTGCTGGTCTGATTCGGTGTCTAAAGAGGCGATTGTTTCTTGTTTAGGTCAGTTGATGAAGATAAAAAGTCACCGCATTTTTTTCCCTTCTAATTTTTTTTTTCTTCCTTTTGATGTGTCTTTCTCCCAGGAGTGTGTTAGGAAGTCAACCTGTACATAAGTGATGAACATTTGTACTCGACCCAGTAGGATGATAAGGAATAGTGCTGTATCCTACCTGAAGGTGTAATAAAGTGTACATTTTTATACCGCTGCCTCGGCCTGCCTTCTGTACCGGGGGGTTACCGAGGGGTTACCGGGAGGGGCGGTGTGGGCGGCGGGACGGATCCCGGTCCCGGTCCCGATCGCGATCCCCGCCCCGCTGCCGGCCCCGCCTGCGGGCGGAGCGGCCGCGGCTCCTCCTCCATCCTCCCATGCGGGCATGGCGCGGGAGGCCGCGCTCGCCGCCTGCCTGGAGGCCGTGCTGGGCAGCCGCTCCAGCGCCAACCGCGTCTTCGAGCTGCTGGAGCCGCTGGCGGTGCGGGCCGGGCCGGGCCGGGCCGGGGAGCGGGCTGAGGGCTGAGGGCTGAGGGAGGGCAGCGCGGCCGGGCCGCCGCTCTGACACGCTGTTCCCCAGGGCCAGGAGGAGCCGGAGGACATCGTGAGCGCCGCCAGGACCTGCAGCCGGCTGTTCGGGGCGCTGCTGGAGCGGCGGGAGCTGTTCGTGGGGCCGCTGCCCGACCAGGACGCCTCTCTGGGCGGTGAGCGCCGAGCGGGGCCCGCGGCCTGCCCGGGACGGGCGCGGCCCTGCCCGAGCCCAGCCTGAGTGTGTGTGCGTCTGTGTGTCTGTCCCTCACAGAGAGCTACAGCGCCGAGGACAAGTACAGGATATGGATGAGGCACCGCTACAGGGACTGCGTGGGCTGCCTGGGCGAGCTCCTGGGGCACGACGCCTTCCAGGTCAAGGTGGGTCCTGAGCCCGCTGCTGTCCCACGGGGGTTCACGGGGCTCCCTTGAGGCTCTCCCCAGCATTTCAGTGTGGGAGGGCAAGCAGTGCTGTGAGACAGCAGTGATGTTCTGCTCACCAGCAACGAGCATGCAGCTTTCTCAGGAAATAATATATCACTCTTCCTCCTCTTGAAAGTTTCCTCCCCTGGTGTTCTTGTTTAGATGGATGTTTTTTGGTTGGGTTTTTTTTTTTTTTTTTTTTTTTTTTTCTTGTGATGTTACTTTCTTCTTTTTTTAAAGGAGCTGGCACTCTGCACGCTCATGAAGTTTGTGGAATTGGAGGCACAGTATCCATTGATCAAAATAGAGTGGAAGGGAACTTTAACTTTTCCATGTGACCTTCTTAAGGTACGCTGCAGAACTGAGAAGTCCCTCTTGCCAGTGACCTGATGGCACACAAACTCATGTGTCCTCAGCCATCTCACTCTGTTCTCCGGTGCTGCGAGAGACTGAGGCGTTGCTTTCCTTTCCAAACCCTTTGTTAGGTGGTTGTTGATGGTTTGCTTCCCACCACGGAGGATGCCTCGCTGCTGATCTCCCGCTTTCAGGAGTACATGGAGTACGACGACGTGCGGTACTTTGTCATGAAGGCTGTCACTGCCAACATCGGGCAGGTCATGCAAAAGACAAAGGAGGTAACAAATTGTTGCTGCTCAGGGGGCTCTGGATGAGCTGCTCTGGGTTGTGTATCTTGTGTGTGAAGCAGGGAGGAGTTAGTAGTGTATGGAAGTATCTGGAACCCAGAGAAATGAGTGTGCCCACTGGAGGCATTGATTTTTTTCTTATATATGTCAGTATGCCAAGACTGGCTTTACTCAAGACACACACTGTTCTTTCTGGTCTGAGCTCTAGCTTCTGTTTTATCCAAATCTTCACAGCTTGGGTGACACACAGAGAACTTTTAATTCTGTTTACACTGGTGCAGATGAAGAACCTGTTTCCTTCATTGGATCCACAGTTTTGTTAAACCAGAATAAGTACAGAAACAGGTTTCATGTTGGATAAACATGTAGTACTCCAGGCTGAGGCTGCAACAGAGAAGATACCAGTGTGTAGTTTAGTCAGCATTTCCCCTTTCTTTTTCCTAAATATATTCAGTACTTGGAAACAGGGCAATATTGAAGCCCAGCATCTTGTTATCTGATGTGGAACTTGCTTCATGTTTGTTTATATGCTTTTTTCCTCAGAGGCCTCTGCCTTTTTACCAGCAGAATGTATTTTCCCTCATCTCACCTATTAACATGCCAAACAAAGAGTCTGAGATGGTCAAATTTATGGTCACGCAAGGTTAGTAAACTCTGCATGATAAACAGTGTGTGAAAAGGAAAATTAGGTTTATGATTTTTAGTATGTAGAGACTTTATTATTGTTTGCTGATGAAGAATGTGTGCTTCTTTGATCACTGTGATTCTAAACAGTCTTCAAAATCCACATTCCTCAGTCTGCAAGGGGTCTGTTGTGGCCTTATATCAAATTAGGTACTTCAGCCCAAGTTTTTAGAGCATCAAAGGGCTAAGTTAAAAAGGGTCATCTTAATTTTTTGAATATGCATTTCAAGTTCAACATCTGGTTTCCCTTTCTTCTTAGATAACCGTGAGGAGTTGAAATTTTCAAAGCTGCAGGTAACTGTTCATTTGGTGCATTAGAACTGAAATTTTGTCTGCTTAAAAATCTGTAGTAGTGTGTTTAACTCACTGTTTGCAATTCTGTTTTAAGGCACACAAACAGGTGTTTGAGAAAATGTGGCTGACTTTTTTGAAGCACAAGGTGAGTATTACTTCTGCCACTGATCTGCATTGCTCTTTAATTTAAGGATTACTGATCCTTAGTAGTTGTGTCCAGCCTTGCAGGAAGCTGCTGGTAGGACCCCAGAATGTTTTGAGTGTTGGGTGGGAACAGCCCAGTGACCATTTCTGTTGGATCACTCTGCCAAGAAACATGACCTCATGTATGACCTCCTTTTTCTCCTTAACCTCAGCCTTTTTCCCTACCTTAAACATCTCTGCCCATAAGGGTGATCTGCAGCATAACAATCTCTGCTCACA